CCAGCATGAGTTTGAGCAGACTGCGGGAGGCAGTGGAAGACAGGAGTGCCTGGCGTGCTCTGGTCCATGGGGTCACGAAGAGTCGGACACGACTAAACGACTAAACAACAACAACAACAATAATGGTACCAACGCAGCAGCTAGGGATGAGCAGAATCTAGTCCAGTTGTTCTTGCAAGGCAAGGGTGTAAGGAAGTCGGATTTGGGAGCAAGGACGAAGCTTCAGGATTCTAAAATTCATAGCCAGAGTTCCAAGATAGCTTGGGGCCTGCAAAGTTGTTCCGGCGGGTTTCACCATCTGCCTAGAGCAGAAGCAGAGGACACTCAGCAACTCTTGAGAATCCTTGTCTCTGCAGAAATTCCAGCAGGCAGATGCTCCACCTGGGGGCCTGAATCCCCTCTTTTCTTTCTTCCTCTCCTGGGAAACAGCACTGGACCCACACAACTCTCTAAACTTCCCCTCTCTGTCAGAGCAGGTGGTGCTCCTAAGCCCTTCTCACCCTCCACAAGTGGGGAAGGGGCAGCCCCTAGCGGTGGTAAGGTGGGGGCACACTAAGAAGGCTCTGTTGCAGAGTCTCACCTTCCCCTTCCCCTTCTGAGCCCTTGCCACTAAGTGCATCCTCCTCCTGGTGCAACAGACTGGAGGGAACCTCGCCAGGTCTCTGTTTTGCTGCACATAGGCTGCCTGCACAATAATAATAATAATAATAATAATAATAATAATAATAATAATTTATTTATACTCCGCCCATCCAGCTGGGTTTCCCCAGCTACTCTGGGCAGCTTCCAACTGACTATTGGAAAACAATACAGCGTCAGACATTAAAAACTTCCCTAAACAGGGCCACCTTCAGTTGCCTTTTAAAAGTAAAATAGTTGTTTATTGCCTTGACATCTGCTGGGAGGACGTTCCACAGGGCAGGCGCCACTACTGAGAAGGCCCTCTGCCTGGTCCCCTGTAACCTCACTTCTCGCAGCGAGGGAACCGCCAGAAGGCCCTCGGATCTGGACCTCAGTGTCCAGGCTGAATGATGGGGGTGGAGACGCTCCTTCAGGTATACTGGACTGAGGCCGTTTAGGGCTTTAAAGGTCAGCAGCAACACTTTGAATTGTGCTCAGAAACGTACTGATTCCTCCAGACCTTTGTGCTCAGTGCAGAAAAAGCTGGAGTTTGAGCTGATGAGGATGTTGCAGGCCTGGCTGGCATTTCTCCCTCCACAACCTCTGCATGCTTTGGCATAGTATAGAACAGAGATCAGGCCAATCCCAACTTTAGCAGGAAATTCAGTTTAGTTTTCTGTTCTTACAAAGTTCACTAGGTGGACAGGGGAGGGAAAGAGGGAGCAATGGTTTATTATTGTATGGCAGGGAGAATTCAGTTCCTATCTTAATGCAAATCTATCTATGGTAGTTCTCCCTTGGGTGACCAAAACACAGCTTGTCCTTTGAAATATATGGTTTTTGAAGCGCAGCAATCCAACCCCACAATGGGTATATTTGGGGAATACAAATATTTCACAAATGTCTGCAAAAAAATGCAGATATCTGCGGAAACAACGTACACAGATGCAATATTTAGTGGGGGGGGGAATGATTGCAAAAAATGTGAGAATTATTAGGAATTGCTGTTGTTTTCCACTGTTTATGGTGTGAATGTAATTTGTATTTCTCCTTAATTGTGGTGCTTTTGTAATCTGCCCTGGGACGTTCTGCTGAAGGATGTGCTATTAAATAAATGAGCAAATAAATAAATAAATAAATGCTGGAGTTTCGTTTGTTACCATGAGCCCTTTCTGGGGAATAGAAAGTGAAACAAAGAATGCTTCGTATAAAAGAAGCAACAAGTCCAGATGCTGGAAGCTCAGCAAGATGGATCAACAGCTGCCGACAGGAAGAGGTAAAATTCCAGTTCTGTGGGTGGATTCAATGAGGGCATGCTTTTTTCTCATGAATTGTCATGAATTCTCAATGAATTCTCACCTACCACCCCCCCCATTGCACAATTATCATTTTTGCAGTCCCTCAGTAGTTGAAATACAGCATGTGATGAACATACTACTTGTGGGTGGCACTTGCTCTTAGCCTTGCTGATCAGAAGGTCAGCGGTTCGAATCCCTACAATCCTCGTTGGCCCAAGTAGGACAAATTCAGCCAGATAGCCCTGGTGGTTATCTAATGCTTATTAGATGGATTATCCCCCAAATTGATCAGAAGATTCTGATCGGCAAGTCCTAGGCTCTGTGGTTTAACCCACAGTGCCACTCGCGTCCCTACCAACTGCTTTTAGAAATAGATTAATTGCTTAAGGATGAGGGACAAAGGTTGAACTGGGTGACCTACCGTATTTTTCGCTCTATAGGACTCACTTTTCCCCCTCCAAAAATTGAGGGGAAATGTGTGTGCGTCCTATGGAGCGAATGCAGGCTCCTTGGCTTCAGCGATAGCAACGCTAAGCCTCTGAAGCGCAGAGGGAGCACTCCCTCCGCGCTCCGGAGGCTTTGAGTTGCTTTCACTGAAGCCTGGAGAGCGAGAGGCATCAGTGCGTACTGACCCCTCTCGCTCTCCAGGGTTCAGGGATAGCTGTGCACAGCCCCTCCGGCAGGGAGAGGCTGCATGGGGCTAAAGAGGAAGCCAAAACAGCGAGAGGGATCCATCCCGCTCGCTGCCTTGGCTTGTGCCATAGCCCCGCGCAACCCCTCCGGAAGGGAGAGGTTGCGCAGCCTGTACGGTGCTCTTTGGGGCTGGGGGAAATAAGATTTTTTTTTCTTGATTCCCCCCCCCAAAAAAACTAGGTGCGCCCTGTGGTCCGGTGCGCCCTATGGAGCGAAAAATACGGTAATTTATTCCAGGTCATCACATGATTCTACAATGTGTTCAGACATTTTTTCCAAACAGTGGGGACCACTATAACACTGGGAACTGGTCATACATACATTACAGAGATGTCTCACTGGCGGGAGGGGGAAGGCTCATTAACTTTCTGTCCTAAATCTGAACCCTAGTCGCACCTGGGATGTGTTTGAAATTGACTAGACCAGTTTGTTAGTAACTTCTGGTCTAGTCAATCTCACTTGTTGTGAGCATTATCTTTTTTTTTTTTTTGAATAATATTTATTAAAGTTCCAAAAGAAGAAAAATCACATTAATAAAAAAAAATTAACAATAAAAAGGAAAAATACAAAGTAGAAAAAAGAAAAAACAGTTAAAAACAATTCCATCTTTTCTTCACTTCTTTTACGTTTACTTGTTTCCCGGACCTCCTCATACCTCCCTCTTTTGTATTCCAATTCAATTTGTTAATCCAACAATTCCTTTCCCTCCTTTTTAGTCCTAATCTTTAATCTTGATATATTATAACATTAAATTTTTACATATTAAAACCAATTTTTCCATATTCTTTTGTACCTATACCGCTAGAAACCACTTAACTTCAATCCAACATCATTCTAACATTCATTAATTTTGCAATATTTCTGTAAATAGTCTTTAAATTTCTTCCAATCTTCTTCCACCGACTCTTCTCCCTGGTCTCGGATTCTGCCCGTCATTTCCGCCAATTCCATATAGTCCATCAATTTCATCTGCCATTCCTCCAGTGTGGGTAAGTCTTGTGTCTTCCAATGCTTTGCAATAAGTATTCTTGCTGCTGTTGTAGCATACATAAAGAAAGTTCTGTCCTTTTTTAACACCGATTGGCCGACTATGCCCAGGAGAAAGGCCTCTGGTTTCTTCAAGAAGGTATATTTAAATACCTTTTTAGTTCATTATAAATCATCTCCCAGAAAGCCTTAATCCTTGGGCACGTCCACCAAAGGTGAAAAATGTACCTTCAGTTTCTTTACATTTCCAACATTTATTATCAGGCACATGATAGATTTTTGCAAGCTTGACTGGGGTTATGTACCACCTGTATATCATTTTCATAATATTTTCTCTTAAGGCATTACATGCCGTAAATTTCATACCTGTGGTCCACAACTGTTCCCAGTCAGCAAACATAATGTTGTGAGCATTATCCAATAGGCACCTGTAACAAGTATCTATTGCAAATATGCTGGTTTCTCTTCTGGGGATATATATAAACTCTTTCAAGACACTATATGTGCTATTGTAAACACCTGCAAAACTTGTCTGATCAGAGAACAATCTGGGGTCCAAAAAAAAAGAAAAAAGAACTTGTATACTGTAGTCAATTATGGCAATAGCACCTCTGTACATGTGTGGAAAGCTGCCTGTTTCCTCCCTTAACTGCAGCGGCTTGTACTCACCCCCCCCCAAAAAAAGCTGCTTCAGAGGGTTGGTAGAACCTCCATGGAGCAACACATGAGGCTGCATTTTAGGAGGTGGAGGAACTGCAAGCAGGAGGGGGGAATCAGTGGGCTCCCCACATACATGAAGAAGTTGTTATGTAATGAAGTTCTCACCCTGGGCCAGCAGGGGGATACTGTAGATAGTTTTCACTCAGGTCCACATATGCAAATAAGGGATTGAAAGTGACGTTCAGTGATTGGATAGTTACAGAAAGTGGTTACTGTTGCGTTGTAGTGGAGCTCTGTATAAGCAGGCTGGCTGAACCCTTCAGTTCAGTTCTGTTCTGGCCTGTGAATAAACAAGAGCTGTTTGAAGAATCGCTGTGTTGCCTGATATGGTCACCCACAACTTAACAGAAGTGCTATTCTTTAAAAGTTTAAAAGGCGCAAGGAGATAGGATAATATTATATTAAGGATGGAATAACAAATAAAATGAGTAATGCAACAATAACAAAAATAATAGTAGGCAAAGAAGATCGCACACTGGTGAAGTACTGGGTTGTGGGGGAGGGAGATGAAGGGATTAATTGAAATTGTTAAAGATTGGTATAGGATTTAAGAGATTTAAATTTCCATAAAGATTCTATAAGGAAAGCAGAAAGCAGCAAGAAATATCAAGTAAAGGTATGGGAAAGGAGATCAGCGTAAATGAAAACATGAGACTTATGGTTTTGCTATATATGATTTTATTTTGGAGTTGTCTCTTATAAAGAATGTATATTATGTGAATAAAATAATAAAAAATTAGAAGAAGAAGAAGAAGTGCTTTTGTGCTTGCACACAGTGATCTTTGGAGCCAAGACATCATCTGTACATGACCTAACAAAGCAGACTCAAAACAATGACCTAAGATGGGAGATCTCCTGCAGCAATTGTGCTGTTCATCTGGGTTTGCTTCACGCCTCGGATGCAGAGCTAGTGGTGGTCTTTCTTTGTGCTCTCTGTGGGAAGAAACACGAAGAAAATAAGGCATAATATATTAAGCATTGTGGGTCCAGGCCAGCCACCCATCATGATGTGCAGGGAGGGGAGTTCTCCTTGCACAGTGGATGCCTGCACAATTCCACCTAAAGCTCACCAGCGGCCACTATGAGCATTATGTGACTCTCCTTTCTGACATGTGCCCAAGCCTCGTTCCATCCTTACCTGTGCTGCAGGGAGCGTTATATTCAACTTCCGCGCTGTCTTCTGTGTATGAGAGAGAACAATTCATAGAATTGGAATTAGAGTTGGAAGAATTAGAGCTGGAAGGGACCCTGATGATCATCTAGACCAGGGGTAGTCAACCTTTTTATACCTACTGCCTACTAATCCATCTTTCTTGATGGTAAAATTTCCTTAGCGCCCACCAGCCTCAATGGAAGGAAGATTCAGCTTGTGCCGTAGAGAACCCCCTACCGCCCACCTAGAATCCTGAAATACCTACTAGTGGGCAGTAGGGACCAGGTGGACAACCCCTGATCTAGACTAACTCCCCAAAATGCAGGAATACGCAGCTGTCCCACACAGGGATCAAACCTGCAACCCTGGTGTTATCAGCATCATGCCCTAACCACCTGAGCTATCCAGGCTCAGCTTAAAGGTTAGGCATGAGGGAAAGTCACAAAATTGGGGCAGGAGATTAGTTTAGATTATGTATGGTGTGGGGAAACTTGTGAGGAAAAGTAGGACATTCTGGGATCAAATCAGAAATGGGGGTGACTAACTCCCCAAAATGCAGGAATATGCAGCTGTCCCGTACAGGGATCAAACCTGCAACCCTGGTGCTGTGGCAATTTGCAGCCTCTGCTGGCTTGGGGACAGACGAGAGGTGAATTTAGCGGTGCGTGTGTCCTCTGCAAAAAAGATCAACAAGTCAACAAGTTTGACCATCTCACCCCATTTTCTAAATTTGAGTCCCCCAAAATAGGGGGCGTCTTATACATGGGGGCGTGTTATACATGGAGAAGTACGGTACATTTCCGGTTTGGGCATCAAAATCAAGGGATAAAAATGTTGGGGTGCAGGAAAATCCAGCATAACTTCCTGAGCTGTGCATTTCATCCCACAAAAATCAGCAGTAACATCAGGCACGTTTACTCTCAGCCTGCTGTTTATGGAAGTTTAAATAAGGATTGGGGATCTATGTGACTGTATGTCTTGGAACAGATTTAGAAATGTGAACTTTATACTTGCTGAGAAGGTCAGTTAAACATAGTTGGAAAGTACAGTGGGTCAGTGACTCCCAGTCACTATATCAAGATTGTCATCAAGGTGAAGCCTTCAGGTTCAATCCACCATAGATGTTTCAAAAAACACACTTTAATTGCATCCCATTTGGAGTACAGCGGTACCTCGGTTTTCAAACATCTCGGAAGCCGAGAGCTTTGGTTTCTGAATGCCGAAACCTGGAAGTAAATGCTTCGGTTTTCAAACATTTTGGAAGTCGAACAGTATTTTGGAATGGATTACAGTGGTACCTTGGTTTACAACCATAATCCATTCCGGAGGTCCGGTTGTAAACCAAAACAGGTTGTAACCCAAGGCGCACTTTCGCCAGTGGGGCCTCCCCCCCCAAAAAAGGGTTGTAATCAAAAAATGGGACACACACTTCCGGGTTTGACGTGGTTGTAATCCAAAACAGTTGTAATCCAAAACGGTTGCAAACCAAGGTACCACTGTAGGTTCGAGAACCGAAGAACCACTGTACTGAATTGCACTCTGTGTGGGGCTGAATTTTGAAAAAGTTTGAAAAGAGCTGCAGCCAAAGTTTTGACCAGGGCTAGTTGTAGGGAGCAGACAGCTCTCTTGTTACAATAGCTCCACTGGCTACAGGTTTGTTTTCAGGCTCAATTCAAAGGTTATGACCTATGTAGCCATCCAAGCTCTCAGGCCGTATTCCCTCACACGAACCTGCCCAGGTCCTGAGATCCTCAGGGGAGGCCTTTCTCTCAGTCCTGCCACCCTCACAGGTATGCTTGGTGGGGACGGGAGAGAGGGCCTCCTCGGTGGCTGCTCCCAGGCTGAGAAACTCCCTCCCTAGAGAAACTAGACTGGCTCCTTCCTTGAGGTCCTTCCACTGACAGAGGAAGACTTCCTTTCTCCAGCAGGTTTTGGGGAACTGATTGCTTTTAATGAAAGGGCTGGTGCTATGCTGTTTTTATTGTAACTATTGTATGGTTTTTTCATAGGTTTTACATATAGATAGATAGTTTTAATTATGCTCATCATCAATCTTTATTACGGTCCAGAGACCCAACAAAACATTACAAATTAATACAGAGTTCATACAGTCTACCTCCAGGTTAATCAAGCACTTTGTTTGGAATATAGGGCTCGTTTGTTCTTGCAACCACCGATAAAAACTTTGCCACTGCCAACGTTCTAGCTTTTGTCCAGTCTTCCAGTAGGAACCTGACATAGTGAGCCTCTGACTTTCCCGGGAAAGGCACCAGCAAGGGTAGTATCAGTTCAGCCCTGGCCTGCTCATACTTCGCACAATGTAACAAAATACGATCTATGGAATCGATGTCTTGAGCACACGAGCAAAGTCTGTCCTTAATTATGCTTAAACGGTTTTTTAAGCAGTTCTTATTTTTATCTGCAAGCTGCCTTGAGTCCCTGTCAGGGGAAAAGGCAGGGTATAAAAATTAATAAATTTTGGGATCAAAAGTAGGGTGGTCAGGTACAGAACAGGACAGGCCCCTCCCCCTGCACCTTTGACAGTTGTGTAGAAGAGGGAATTTCTGCAGGTGCAGCTTGTCATGGCTGCATTTCCCCTCACACAATTCCCCTCACTGAAACTACGCTTGAAAGAACCATTTTGTTGTGGCCAGAATAATAGTTTGTGGTGTGTTGTTGGCTGCAGTGTTGTTTGGGGCCTAAGACAGTTTCTCTGGTTCGCAAATTTACCCAGAAAGGTAGATGAACTGTGGTAAACAAACCATGAAGGGCCAACCCAAGGCTCTGTACACATTACCAGCTTAGAACACAGTGAGATCGTTTTCCCTCACCTTCAAGTCAAATTTGCACGTACAGATGTCTTCATCCAAATTACCTTCCCCCATCCTTCCAAACCCACCAACTCCTATGCAACGGCAGTCTCCAATGAACACACCTCAGCTTTTCTGAAATGCATGTGGCTTATGTTTTCAAATCAGATGGAAGCTGGTTTGAGGAAAAACACATCAGACAACGGTAGTTCTCAAGGAACTACCTTAGTTCTCAAGGAACTGCAGGATAGCGATGGATTGTAGCTGACATCGGCTTCAGGCACCAGGGCTAGCTGGAGTAAACAGACATGTGTACACAGCCTTAGTCTGAACTCAAGATTGTGGCTTGTTTCACCCTACCATAATGTTATGAGTTTGTGGATCCCTGGATCCAGCAGGTGCTAAAATCTAAACAAAGCTATTTAAGTCAGGCTACCTTCCTATTTATTTATTTATTTATTTTACAATAAGTTTTTATTGTTAAAATAATTCATCATTAATACACATATATTACAAATATACAAGCATACAAACATACATTTCATACAATCCTTAAAAGTGTTCAAACATACTTACACTCAATCCCACAAATAATTCCTTTTCCCATCACCATCCACCACCCTCACCCCACCTTTGTGTTAGACTTCCAATCTACTCAATTGCAATTTCTTTCCACTTCTATTACTTTCTTTCACACACCTTTAACCTAATTCACACACCTTTAACCTAATTTCATACTTCTTTGTCTATTACACATTGTTATTTAGTATTTTTAGTATTTTAGTATTTTATTTAGTATATTTAGTATTTTATTTAGTATATATATCTTATTTAGTATTTCCGTATTTGAAATGGAACTTGTTTATTCTAATAGGAGTTCTGATTTTTCGATATGGTTTTGCAAGTATCTTTTAAACACCTTCCAGTCCCTATCTATCTTCTCTTTTGAGATCCTTCCAATTTCTCCCATTGTTTTGGATATATTGTAGTACTCCAATAATTTGGCAAGCCACTCTATTTTTGTCAGTACAATACCACTTTTCCAATTTTTTGCAATCAATAGCCTTGCGGCTACTGTTGCGTATAAATATAAGGTCTTGTCTTCTTCCTTTAGGCTTCCTGGTACTATTCCCAGTAGAAAACCTTCTGGTGTTTTCCTAAATGAATATCTGAACATTTTTTTCATTTTGTTATATATTGTTTCCCAAAATGTTTAAACAATTCCACCATATACCGTATTTTTCGCTCTATAACACGCACCCGACCATAACACGCACGTAGTTTTTAGAGGAGAAAATCCGTAGGCATGCCACCCATAGGCATTCCCTCCATAACACGCACAGACATTTCCCCTTACTTTTTAGGAGGAAAAAAGTGAGTGTTATGGTGCAAAAAATACGCTATGTATCATAGTACCTTTTCCAGTGTTGCATCGGCAGCAGACATCGCTACAATTTTTATTCATTTCTGCTATTCTTTCAGGTGTTAAATACCATCTATGTTGTATTTTGAGGTAATTTTCTTTCAACATATAACACATAGTGAATTTCATATCTTCTTTCCACAATTTTTCACATTGTTCAAACATAATATTTTCCCCAATATCTTGCGCCCATTTAATCATTGATGCTTTAACCAATTCATCCTTTGTTTCCCACTCTAAAATCAGATTATACAATTTAGATATATATTTTTATTTTTCTTGTATTACGTATTTATCAAATTTTGATATTTCTTTTTCAAATCCTAACTTTTTGTCTTTCGCTAATCTATACTTAATTTGAATATATTGGAACCAATCACTAATATGAGCTTTAATTCCTGTATAATCCTTTAATTCCAATTCTCCGTTTTCTTCCTTTAATACAATTTTATAGGTAGCCCAATTTTCTTTCATATTTAATTTTTTCACTGCGACAGTTTCTGCCGGCGATGCCCACCAGGGAGTTTTCGGTTCTAGGAGTCTTTTATATTTCTCCCATATTTTATATATAGACTTTCTGACTATATGCCCTAGGAAGCCTTTATGTACTTTGACTTTTTCATCTATTAGATAGGCATGCCATCCAAATCTCGTCTCTACTCCCTCTAAATCCAATACATCCGAGTCATCTAATTTGATCCATTCTTTTAGCCAGGTCAGACCCACTGCATCATGATATAACTCCATGTCAGGGAGACCAAGTCCTCCTCTCTCCTTCTTATCTATCATTATTTTGTGTTTTATTCTTGGCTTTTTCCCTGACCATACGAATTTAGCCAAATCTCTTTTCCAATTATTAAAACATTTATCTCCTCCTAGTATTGGGATACCTTGAAAAATAAACATCATCCTTGGTAATATGTTCATCTTTATTACCAATATTTTCCCTAGTAAGGAAAGATTTAATTTCCCCCATACTTGTAAATCATTTTTTATTTCATTCCATGTTTACCTATAGTTCTCATTACTTAAATCTATAGTGTTGTTAAATTTATTCCAAGATACCTTATTTTCTTTTTAATTTCCAATCCTGTAATTTCTTGTAATTTCACTTTATCTTTTTCTTCCATATTTTTCACTAATATTTTGGTTTTCCCATAGTTTAATTTGAATCCTGCTATTCTGCCATATTCATTTATGCATTCCAATATTCTAGGTGTACATTGTAGGGGATTTTCTGTTGTGATCATAACATCATCTGCAAAGGCTCTTAACTTATATCTTTTTTCACCAACTGCTATTCCTCTTTTTTGGTTGTCCTGCCTTATTTTCTTTAATAGAACCTTTAATACTATTATAAATAACATTGGGGATAGGGGGCATCCTTGTCTTGTACCTTTAAAGATGTTGATTTCATCTCCAAACTCTCCATTAATAATATTTTTTGCTTTCTGTTGGTTATATATTGCATTTATACCTTTTTGGAATTTTTCACCTAGACACAATTCTTTTAATAGTTTTTTCATAAATTCCCATGAGATTTTATCGAAAGCCTTTTCCGCATCGATTGAAATCAGGGCTGCTTGTTTATCTCTTCTTACTTGTAGATATTCCATTATGTCTATTATATTTCTAATATTATCCTTTATTTGTCTACCTTCCACAAATCCAGCCTGATTTTTATGTACTATTTTTCCTATAATTTTTTTCAACCTGTTAGCCAATAATCCTGCATAAATTTTATAATCCGAATTTAACAATGAAATGGGTCTATAATTTGAGACAGATTCCAAATCCGTACCTTGTTTTGGCAGGAGCGTTATATACGCTTGAGTCCAAGAGTCTGGAATATTCCCCTTCTCTACTGCTTCCTTTATTACTTCTTTTAGTGAGTTGATTAATTCATTTAACATTTCTTTGTAGTATTCTGCTGGTATGCCATCTGGATCTGGGGGTTTCCCTATTTTTAATTTTTGAATTGATTCCTTAATTTCTACGGTTGATATTGGTTCATTTAATAATTTATGGTCTTCTGCTATCTCTATTAATTTATTTCTCTTTATATATTCCTCTATTTCTTCTATTGGCACTTCATCTTTTTGATATAATTTTTTTGTAATATTTTTCAAATTCTTTTTTAATTTCTGTCATATCCCTTATTGTCCTCTCTTCTACTTTTATTTTATTTATTAATTTTTCATTTCTTTGTTTCTTTAATTGCCAGGCAATGATCTTGCCTGGTTTATTTGCCCATTCAAAATTTTTATATTTCCAAAATTTGATTTGTTGTTCTACCTCCTGTTCTATAATTTTATTATATTCTACTCTCAGTAATTTAATTTTATTTTTTTAATGATATTTATTGAAAATTTTTGAATTACAAAAGAAAACAAAGAAGAAAAAGAGAAAGAAAAAACAAAGAAAAAACAAACCACAGTCAAACAATACAGATTAATAAAAATCAAAATAAAAAAATAGCACAACACGCTCAAAAATAAAAATATACCACAAACATTTAAAAACAAATCCAATATTCTCAAATCCTTAACTGTCATTACCTTCTTTCTTTGACCTCCTCCTCCTCCCTTTTTTTGTATCCTGGTTATTAATTGTCGCAGCAAATCCTTTCCATACTTCATAATATTCTGTCATTACATTACCTTACTCTATTTTAATCTTATCTTACTATAAAAACCTTAAAGCTTAAAACTTAAATCTTATTTTTACCAATTTCTCATAACCATAATATTCTTACATAATTCTTTAAACATTTTTGCTAAAGCCAAATAATTTCGTTCCAACATTTTTCTAACATTCATCAATTTTATAAAACAATCCTAATAAAAAAGTAACAAAAAGCAAACAATCCACACTTCATCCAGCGTCTCTTCCTCCTGGTCCCGGGTTTTGTCAGTCCTTTCTATCTCATCAATCTAGCGCATTAACCTGGCAATCTTATGTCCGAGGCCCTTAAGTCCCTTCCATGTCCCTTCCGCAGCTCTTCTTCATATTTATAGCTGTATTTTCCTTTATCTCCTGCTCCTTTCACTCTTGGGAACTCCAGCTTGACAATGCTTTTGACCCATCTCGACAAATCAGCCCCTTTTCCATAGTCCAGACTAAGCTCCATGTGGTATTTAAGAACATGTTTCAAAGTCCCTCCAAAATTAAGAGCCCCCACAACCCCAAACATCTCACGGCCCATTGCCAGACTTGAAAAGTCCAAACATCCCTGCATAGGGGGGTCTATCCAACCCCCCATTTCCAAACCAAACCAAACTTTATCTTTCCAAATCTGGCTTTTACCAAGTTCATTTGTCAAATCCAAGAATTCGTGTTCCTGCTGGGCCACAGCTCCCTCCATCTCTGGCGCCCAAGATTCAGAAACATCCTCTTCCTTCATCTGTTCTGTCAGGGCACACTCCTGATCTGATTCCTGAGTGAGCTCTATATAATTTCCCACTGCCTGTCCAAAATTTCTGATCGCATCAGTCATAAAATCCATCTTCTCATGTAGCTGTTCCAGTAGGGCACTTGTTTTACAGAAAACACACAACAGAGCTTCTGAATACATTGTCCTGCAAGGTCAGAAGTCTATTCCCACGATCGTAATCTGTGACAGCTGCAAGCTCCCCGATTCAGAATTGGTTACAGTTTCACAGGCTCCCTCTAGGGGAAGAACTTTTGTTCTTTTCTTTTAAAAACAGATCTAGAAACAAAGTTTCCTTTTTCAGATATTTTGTCAATATTTGTTCCTTTAAGATGCGAAGGGGAACAATGGAGTCACTATGTTTCTCTTCTTTTAGCTATCTGTCAGAAACGTTTGTCTCTGGTCAATGAGCTTCAAAAAACGTCCGTCCTGACACCCCGCTCCAGGATCAAGACGGTGGAAAGTTACTTTGCTTTACACTCACTTCTGCAGGTTTAAACAGTCCGAAAAAAATCCCCCCTCTTCTCCTGCTTCCGAAGGGGGTTCAACAATTTAAAATGGTGAAAGTTGATCCTTTACAAATGATTTTCAGAACTCTAGTTTGCCATGTCTTTGCTTTAATCTATCTACAAAGAAACGGAAGGCTGACTTCCTGTTTAGACCTTCCCGTTTCAGTGCCAAATTAAAATAAACTTTTAAGTCCAATTTTCCTTTCAGCTCACAAATCCTTATTTAAAGTCCAATTGTCCGAAATTTAAGTACTCACAGGTGATTGTTTTAAAAGCCAAATTGTCCCAGGAAAAAGGCAGCGCTCTCCGGCAACGGCTGTGCGGCTTCACTCCACGGAAGAAGCAGTTGACTCTCAGCACCGCGCCACTTCCCCTTCTTCGCTCCGGAGCCCGTTAGTGGGTTCCTTTGCGGGTTGGGGGGGCGCTAAAGGTGCCCGCCGAGTCCCATGGTCACAGGCTTCATCCGCCTGTGATTTTTGAATGGGTCCCCGCTTCACCGTAGCGGAAAAGACCCGTTTCCCGTGGAGCTGGTCCCTCCAGATCAGAGGGAGTCCGCCATTACCGATGGCGCCACCCCGGAAGTATTAATTTCTTGATTTAATCTCTCTTTATTTTTGCTTGCATAGGCCAATTTTTCCTTCCTTTTAATTTCTTCTAAAAGCTCCCTTTTCTTTTTTTCTTTATTCTTATATGCTATTGAGTTTTGTTGTATGAAATATCCCCTAACAACTGCCTTCCCAGCATCCCACACTGTTTTAACATCTGTCCCTTTCCTCCAATTGTTTTCAAAATATTCCTTCATCAACTTTCTGGCTCCTTGTATTACTTTTTGGTTTTTTAATAAGAAAACATTCATTCTCCACCTTTCCCCCCCTTTCTCCTCTTTTCCTTTAAGAGTTAATGATACTGGATTGTGATCTGTAAGTGTTTTTGGTAATATTTCGGCATTCTCTGCTTCAATTGTCATGTCCTTAGTAATCCATATACTGTCGATTCGACTATACGAATTTTTTGGTTCTGAGAAATATGTGAACTCCTTTTCGACAGAATATTTATATCTCCATATATCCACTAAATCAAAAATCTTTACCATTTCCACAAAGCTTTTTGGCAGCTTCCCTTCATTTCCCCCCTTCTTCTTCTGCGATCTATCCAATTCTGGTTCCATTACTCCATTTAAATCCCCTAACACAATAATTCTCATATCTATATATTCCATTAATAATGATCTTACTTTAACATAGAATTCTGATTTTCTTTTATTTGATCCATAGATTCCCACTACCACAATTGGTTCCCCCTCTAGTGATATTTTGACTATTACAATCCTCCCCTCTTTATCTTCATATAACAATTCTGGTTCATATTTGCTTTTAACATACATTACAACCCCCCTTTTTTCTTACATCAGATGCGATGAATTCTTCCCCTAGCTTTGGTTTTACTAATAGTCTTTTATGCTTAGTGTGGGTTTATTGTAAACAAGCAAGGTCCCACTTCTGCCTCTCTAAGATACGTTCTATTTTCTGCCTCTTCCTCCTATTATTTAAACCATTTACGTTCCAAGATAACAATTTAAATTTCATTCATTATTAGTTAAAAAATTATAAAGTTAGTGGAAAGAGTTTAAATTATCTGCAGTGGTAAAGGAGAAGGGTTTTGTAATAGTTATTGGTCTGATTATTTACCACTGGCGTAGTTCTTTATCTTTCCACCCTTTGCTGAGCTCTTTCTTCTTCTTCTGCCTCATCCGATAGCTCTCCCTTTCTTCTTTCCTCATTTCTTACTTCGCTTTTCCCTCCTCCTAATTCTCCTTGATACTTCCTCCAAAACATATCTGCTTCCTCAAATGTCTCAAATCGTCTTCTTTTTCCTTTAAAGTTGAAGGAAATCCCCACCGAGTATTCCTATCTGAAGGATATTGATTTGGCCTTTAGTGCTTTTGTTAGAAATTGGAATTGCTGTCTCTTTTTTATCAGCCTGGATGGGACCTCCCGTAAAATTTTTATTTCCTTTCCATCTATGGTTAATTTGTTCTTACTCTTTGCTTGGAGGATCTTATCTTTCATCCAATTCGATGTGAATACAATGATGCAGTCTGCCGGCCATTTGTTCATTTTTGCTTTCCTTGAGTTCACGCTGAAGATTTTCTCTGTTCTATTATGTCTTTTTCCTGTAAATGTAGCCACTTTGCTAAAGTTTCAGTCATCTTCTTCCAAATATCCTCCTTCTCCTCTTCTGGAACATTTCTGAATCTCAAAGTCTTCTCTTTAATCTGCATCTGTATCATTGCTAGCGCATCCCCAGTAGCTTCCTGGATTGCTTTTTGTTCCTCCATCTCCTTTTTCGATTTGTCCATTTCTTTTCTTTGTTCCCTTTGTTCTTTGCTAATTTTCTTCACCATCTCTTCCATTTGTTGATTTTTATTCTTAATTTCTTGTACTTTCTTATCTGTCTCCTTCATTCCTTCTAAGACTTCTGTTAATTTTTCCTTTATTTCTTCATTTTCTTTTTCATTTTTTATTGTGTTTTCTAATTTTTCTAATTTCCCATCAATTGTATTGATTTTTTCTTCCAACTCTCTTCTCAATCCTCCCACGTCCAATTTCAAACTAATAATAAGCTCCCTCAAATCATTTCTTCAAGGCCTGAGTTTCTTCTTAATTGTTGCTGTTGACTTCCAGTTCCAGTCGTTTGTTTTTTAATTGCATGAGACATTTTGCGTTCTCTTTTTCAACCACCAGATGTCCTTCTATTGTTTCAATTTTCCTTTATTACTGCTTTTCCTACTTTGTCCACTGGGTGTCACTGTGTTCTTATTTACTCAGCTTGCCAGCTTCTGCCCTCCTTTAATCCTCTCTTTCACTATTTTGTCTTCGTCACTTCCTCCTTCTTCCTCCTTCTTGATGATTACTCAGCGTCTTCAGATCCTCGACACCATCTTATCTTATCTGTTAAATTCCCCTCCTTTCCCCCACAGCATCCCTTATTCCTTTGTCCTTATCTTTCCTTCAAGGACATTCAGTTTCAAAGCAGCTGCTTTACTCCACCCAGCTCCAACAACAAGCAGCCTGCACCGCTTTGCACTTTGTAGTAAGTCCGTTTCAGATAGTGTGCCTTTCAAATAGTTTAATTGCAATCTGAGTGATTTCTTCACACACTCTCCATATTTTTTCTGTTCTTCTGTCTTCCCTTTACTTTTGTGGTAGCATTACTTCTCCGCTACTTTTACTCTTTATCTTGTTTTGGGTTTACTCGCTCCGTGAGGGATTCCCCCCCTGAGTTCCCTTCCCCCCCCTTGTCTTATTTCCTTTTAGGTTTTATTGCTGCTGCTACCACTTTACATTTATTTTAATATAGAAATAGAGATTTTACCATCTTGTCGCTGCTTCAGTGATGTGAGGCTTTTCACCGGTCTGTTTGATGTTCTTCTCTGTGCCTGGATTCCCCCCCACCTTCTTTTGGCGAGGGGTGCCGGGACTCCAAAAAGACACTGCCGAAGTTCCTTTGACTTGAGCTTCCTTCCAAGCCTTTTCAGGGGTCGTTTAGCCAAACGTTGCCCCTCACAGTACTAGTGTACGCCCCGACCTGCTTACTGCAGTCAGAGCTCACACTGTTGCAGCTGTGGTAAAAGCGGAAGTCAGGCTACCTTCCTATTTGGAAGGAGAGTTCCTGAAGCTGAGGCTGCAATACTTTGGCCACTTCATGAGAATAGAAGACTCCCTGGAAAAGACCCTGATGTTGGGAAAGATGGAGGGCACAAGGAGAAGGGGATGACAGAGGATGAGATGGTTGGACAGTGTTCTCGAAGCTACTAATTTGAGTTTGACCAAACTGCGGGAGGCAGTGGAAGATAGGAGTGCCTGGTGTGCTCTGGTACACGGGGTCATGAAGAGTTGGACATGACTAAACAACAACAACAAACAACAACCTTCCTATGTTATGGTAATCACCTGGGAGATGGAGCCATTAATCACCTGGAAGATGGAGCCATTAAGAGAACAAAGGGTCAAGGGATCAACAGATAAAGCAAGAGTTTAGGGAATCAGTGATGTGACCTATAGAGAGAGAGAGAGTCAGAGAGCAATGTGAAGAACTAGGGCTTAGAGGGTTATGGGTTATGTGAGCTAGCAGCTGGATGCGACAACAAAAAACCCTGCAAGCTGGAAAGCCAGAGAAGCGGAGCACAATGTTTGATTCCTGTTTGAAACCAAGGCTGCAACTATGAGAGAAACAAGACCCTCTTGGAGCCCCTCCATCATAGGCTCAGGTTGTCTATATGTGTAAATAAACCATATGCCATAATGACACCACAGTCTCTGTTGTGCCTCATTTTCAAAAGGAAACAAGAATCCCGGGTATGCACCTGGAATCTTGCACAGTAGTACCTTGGTTTGCAACCGTTTTGGATTACAACTGTTTTGGATTACAACCACGTCAATCCCGGAAGTGTGTGTCCCTTTTTTTGGATTACAACCCTTTTTTTTTTGGGAAGCCCCACTGGCGAAAGTGCGCCTTGGGTTACAACCTGTTTTGGTTTACAACCGGACCTCCGGAATGGATTACGGTTGTAAACCAAGGTACCACTGTAATCCATTCCAAAAGACTGTTTGACTTCCAAAATGTTTGAAAACCGAAGCATTTACTTCCAGGTTTCGGCATTCAGAAGCTCTCGGCTTCCGAGATGTTTGAAAACCGAGGTACTGCTGTACTCCAAATGGGATGCAATTAAAGTGTGTTTTACTGTGGCCAAATCAGACATCTCAAGGAAGGGGCGCAGTTGCCACACTAGCTTTATAACTGCGCAAATGCCCTCCTGGCCACCACAGAGACCTGGTTATCTAGGAGCACACCTAAACTGCAAACCTGTGTCTGCAGTGTGACCCCCATCCAGCCCAGGCTCAATCCCTATTCCCTGTTCTGCCTTCTGACTATCTTTATTTCCTTGGAACCATAGGAGCTGACTCCTAGGGGGCCAAGGTCCCTTTGCTCCCACCCAATAAAATATTTGAAGGGGCTTCCCCCACAAAAAAGTTGATGGGCATTGCCATTCAAGTGGTGCTCACCTGTGATTGATTATGCAGGGCAAGGCTTTCCTGGCTCCACTGAATGTTTTATTCAAGTTGGTACCCCTGCTTGGAACACTACCGTCTGTTCCATTTTAACTCTTCCGACCATCTGTTTCTGGATCCCCAACCAGCTTCCTGTCTGTCAGAAGACTGGCCCTCAGTCTATAAATGCTAATGTTTCTATAGGAGCCTGCTGTGAGGGACTTTATCAAAGCTTTTTGAAACATCTGTGGGGGATTGAACCTGAAGGCTTCACCTTGATGCCGATCTTGATATAGTAACTGGGAGTCACTGACCCATTGTACTTTCCAGCTATGTTTAACTTCTCAGCAAGTATAAAGTTCACATTTCTAAATCTGTTCCAAGACATACAGTCACATAGATCCCGGATCATTATATAAACTTCCATAAACAGCAGGCTGAGAGTAAACGAGCCTGATGTTACTGCGGATTTTTGTGGGATGAAATGCACAGCTATGTCAAGTGCTGGATTTTCCTGCACCCCAACATTTTTATCCCTTGATTTTGATTCCCAAACCGGAAATGTACCGTACTTTTCCGTATATAATGTGCCCCATGTATAAGACAACCCCCACTTTTTAGCATGATCTTTATTGGAAAAAACCTAGTCTTATACATGGAAAAGTACGGTAGGTAGTTTTCAGGCAGATGTTCCCTTACATTCTGGAGTTGAAAGGACATAACATATTTCCAGAAGGACAGCAATGCGCAATCCCAGCCATGTTTATTCAGATGCAAGTCCTATATTTACTCAAGTCTGATGCACCATCAAATCTAATGTTCACCCGATTTTTCATAGCCTAATTTGGAAAAAAGGTGTGCATTAGACTCAAGTAAATATGCTATATCTGAAATAACTACTGGTGGCTTTTCTGTTGTTCCTCAAAACAGCACATCCTTATGTACACATAACTGAAAATAGAATCTATCCATCTATCATCTATCTATCTATCTATCTATCTATCTATCTATCCTGTAAGTCCTTCCAGCAGCACTGGCTTCCATTGTCTCTGGAATCTGCATTCGTGACGCTTTCCCCCTCCCTCCTCCTTTGCATAAGGAACTCTGAGACTGGTAGTTCTCAGGAAAGCATGTCACACAGGGAAAAATCTCTATGTCCCTTGAACTACAACAGCCCAGTTTAACTGTACAGACACCCTCTCTCTTGGTTCTAAATAAGGGCTTGGGGGGGGGGTTGCTCCTTGCCAGGGTGGTGTGGTGGTTAAGAGTGGTAGTCTCGTAATCTGGTGAACCGGGTTCGCGTCTCCGCTCTTCCACATGCAGCTGCTGGGTGACCTTGGGCTAGTCACACTTCTCTGAAGTCTCCCAGCCTCACTCACCTCACAGAGTGTTTGTTGTGAGGGAGGAAGGGAAGGAGATTGTGAGCCACTTTGAGACTCCTTCGGGTAGTGATAAAGCGGGATATCAAGTCCAAACTCTTCTTCTTCTCTTCTCGTCAAATACTGTACATTGTTTGTTCTGCTCCAACACTATTTTTGCCGTATTCTAGCAAGTGGGTGGTGTGGTGATCTAAACCACTGAGCCTCTTGGGCTTGCCAGTTGGAAGGTCAGCGGTTCAAATCCCCGTGATGGAGTGAGCTCCTGTTGCTCTGTCCCAGCTCCTGCCAACCTAGCAGTTTGAAAGCACGCTAGTGCGAGTAGATAAATAGGTGCTGCTGCAGCAGGAAGGTAAATGGCGTATCCGTGTCACAGATATTCCATGAGTCTCTCTGCATGCTGCCCTTTGCATTGCTCAATTCAGATGCATCTCAAAGTCAAACTGCGCAACGCCCTATTGACAAGAAATTATTGGCTGTATTAGCTGCATTATGCTGCCCTGTCGTCATAGACATTGGAGAGGACGTTGATTACTTAGCAAAGTAAATACAGTAAATACAGGGGTGGACCCACGAAGGGATCACTAGGAGGGTATTTAGATCTCTGCATCTCCAGTGCTGGGTGTCTGGAGAACCAGCCTGTGCTGCCCATCACAGCTCAGCCATGGGGCCAGCCCCACTCCTCTGTGCCTTGACTGTACTCTCACTCACAGCTCCAGTCATATCGGACCCGTAAGATTTTAATTTTCCATTTCTCTTTGCTCAGCCAGTTTCATAGTGGAATAGGAGTGCAGACGGGCACAAAAACTTAAGGAATATGAGGAAATGGCAAAACTTACCTGAAGAATAAGAAATCAAGATAACAAACTCTTTATAAAAGAATGGAAATGGTTTATTGAATATTTGCAGATAAATTGTAAACAGATAAAAACATTAGCAGTGTTATTGTAATAACCTGCAGTTTCACGAGAGTGTATATTTATAGCAGACAATTAAAGGAGTAACTTAAATGAATTTGGATATGCAGAAGATATGAAATAATAAATTTAAGGAACCGCAGAAAGAGGGGGGAGGGAAGCCAAATTTTGAAATGTTAAATGGATTGTAAAGTTAATGAGATGTATAAATTTGAAAAGTATAAATAAAAAACTAAATAGAAAGAAAGAATGCAGATGGGCACATGGGGCTGAGAGTGACAATGCTGAACTCCCTTTCATATGTGGGTCGCATTGGCTCAGGTTATCTTCCGCACAGAGGCAGATTTTAGAGCACTTTCAGGCACCGGGTTTAAATTGACTTGTTGAATTGCTTTGAATGGAGAACCTCCAGGTATTCTGCTCCCAGGCATGCAGCTCTGTTTTATGCACGTTTACTCAGAAACAATTTCCACTGAATGACATAGAAGTCTGCTTGTTGCTGGAGCTAATTCTATAGCTTAACTGTATGCTGTGGGGAGTTATTTCTTGCAACATTCAGCTCCGTTGGGTTCTAGGAGAAAACTTTCCCCACACCATACATAATCTAAACTAATCTCCTGCCCCAATTTTGTGACTTTCCCTCATGCCTAACCTTTAAGCTGAGCCTGGATAGCTCAGGTGGTTAGGGCATGATGCTGATAACACCAGGGTTGCAGGTTTGATCCCTGTGTGGGGCAGCTGCGTATTCCTGCATTTTGGGGAGTTAGTCTAGATCAGGGGTTGTCCACCTGGTCCCTACCGCCCACTAGTGGGTGTTTCAGGATTCTAGGTGGGCGGTAGGGGGTTCTCTACAGCACAAGCTGAATCCTCCTTCCATTCAGGGTGGAAATTTTACCATCAAGAAAGATGGATTAGTAAGCAGTAGGTATAAAAAGGTTGACTACCCCTGGTCTAGATGATCATCAGGGTCCCTTCCAGCTCTAATTCTTCCAACTCTAATTCCAATTCTATAATTCTAATTTATCTGCCACACCCTGCAGCTGCCCAGGAGAATTGCATCCCTCACCCAATGACAAAAAAAGTTTTTATTTTAGGTTGTTTTGTTTGTTTGCTTCAGTTTATTGTTTGGCCAAAGGCCTTAGCAATTACTGAGTAATGTCCCCCCCCCCGCCCCCGATAAGGGACTGTAACGTAATTAAAATCTTGGCAGGGAGACAATGACACTTGTAATGTGAAATGAACTTTGGTATCCATGATTATATAACAGATGGATAACGGTAAAAGAAAAATAATATTTTGGGGGAGAAATGGAACCCATGGAGGGAAGGGAGGAGGTCTGAAGGTTCGAAAGAACCTTTTCTTTTTATGATTTGAAATGGTTAAAGTTATTATGTATAAAGGTAAAGAGACCCCTGACCATTAGGTCCAGTCGTGGCTGACTCTGGGGTTGCTTTACTGGCCGAGGGAGCCGGCGTACAGCTTCTGGGTCATGTGGCCAGCAGGACTAAGCCGCTTTTGCCAAACCAGAGCAGCGCACGGAAATGCTATTTACCTTCCCGCCGGAGTGGTACCTATTTATCTACTTGCACTTTGACGTGCTTTCGAACTGCTAGGTTGGCAGGAGCAGGGACCGAGCAACGGGAGCTCACCCCGTCGCGGGGATTCGAACCGCCGATCTTCTGATCGGCAAGTCCTAGGCTCTGTGGTTTAACCCACAGTGCCACCCATGTTATGTATAAATTAATGTAAAACTAATAATTTTTTAAAAAAATAAAATAACTTAATTAAAATTGTCTGGATCCCACAGAGCAACTTTGCAACAACTGCTAAAGTACAATTTCTCCAAAACTGTCAGGAAAGGCCTTACAGATCATAGGATGTCCCCCTCTCTTTTCTCTCGCAGCCGCTATCTGGTGGCCTTCCCAGCAATCATCCGCCATCCCAATACAGAAAAGTTTTGTGTGCAACTGATGTCCCTGCCGGAGACGGCCCACGTGGCGGTGACATTAGAGATGACGTTGCAGAACCACACCCTGCTGGAGAAGGATGTGGAGAAGCCAGGGACCCACGAATGCATCAGCTTCCAGGCAAGTTTCATCCATTGCAAGCCACTCAGTAGAAGATGCTCTCGCTTCTTAGCTAGATAAGGACAGCAGGTCTCAGTGAAGGACGGAACAAGGCAGCACACTAGCTGTGGTAGAGATTGCCATCGCTGCAGTGAACCCCTCCTAAGGCTTAGTACAACACACCACGTGAGTTGGTGCCATGATCGTATGGCGAGTTGCCCCAGCCCAACCCATGTAAACCTATGGCAAGAAGTGGGGGCAGGGTAGGTGAGAGATAATATTGCAGGGGCAACAGTTTATCTGTGGAAATAGTCATATCAGTGTCCGGTCGAAGGTCCAGCAATATAATAATAATAATAATAATAATAATAATAATAATAATAATTTTATTATGTATACCCTGTCCAGCCACTCTGGGCAGCTTACAACACATAAACAATTGTAAAACATTAGACATTAAAAATTTCCCGATACAGGGTTGCCTTCAGATGTCTTCTAAAAGTCAGATAGTTGTTTATTTCCTTGACATCTGAAGGGAGGGCGTTCCACAGGGTGGGCGCCACTACCGAGAAGGCCTGATTCCCTGTAACCTCACTTCTCGCAGTAAGGGAACCACCAGAAGGCCCTTGGTGCTGGAGCTCCGTGTCCGGGCTGAATGATGGGGGTGGAGACACTCCTTCAGGTATACTGGGCTGAGGTTGTTTAGGGCTTTAAAGGTTGGCACCAACACTTTGAATTGGGCTCAGAAACATACTGGGAGTGACAGCTTGCATTCATCCAAGCACTTTCCTGTCCTCATCCTCTAGCCAAAACAGCTGATTCCCCCCCCCCCCCCGAATATTATCCTATTATTGCAAGTAAGGTCGCAATTGTTTGAACCCAAGATAATTGTTATGAGCTCATCTGCCCACACAGATGTTTGTTTTACATGTCTTTAACTGCAACGGCTGTTAGAATGTTCCAACTGTTATAGGATGCTTTAAAAAATGTGGACGTGTTTGCTGTTTCAGGAGGAAGGATGGGATATAAATTCAATAAATGAAATATCAGTGTAAGTTGTTTGGGGCAAACACCCATAGCCTGAAAGAGAAAGGACGGAAAAAGCTCTGACTAGCTGCCTGTGAATTCCGATGCAGTGAAGCCATCATCTATTTCTGCATTCAAAATGGATGTTGAAAATCTACACCCCTCAGTTTAGCTGTCGCTTATGTTTTTTAAACTGGATGGAAGCGGGTTCGAGGGAAAGCAAACCAACCAGCAGTATTTCTCAGGAATTACAGGGTTCAGATGGATTGCTGCTCACGCCATGTGTACTCGGTTTCAAACACTAGTGGCGAGAGCACGTTGGAGCCAGAGTAAATGGTAATTGTTACACATCCTCAGAACCACTTCCAGGCAAATTGGCAAGTTCCTGTTTACAAGCCTGTTTCATGCGGATGTATTTATTGTGGACCAATCTGAACGTGTTCTGAGGTCAAAAATAGCTGGGCGTACCTTTAAAAATAAAACCAACGCTGCCAAGTAATGTACAGTGGTACCTCGGGTTAAGTACTTAATTCATTCCGGAGGTCCGTACTTAACCTGAAACTGTTCTTAACCTGAAGCACCATTTTAGCTAATGGGGCCTCCTGCTGCCGCTGTGCTGCCGGAGCACGATTTCTGTTCTTATCCTGAAGCAAAGTTCTTAACCTGAAGCACTATTTCTGGGTTAGCAGAGTCTGTAACCTGAAGCATATGTAACCTGAAGCGTATGTAACCCGAGGTACCACTGTATTAGAATTTTATTTAGGTGCATTTTTGAATTTGATTGTGATAATATGATTAACGTTCAATAGTTGTGATTCCTGCATTGCAGGGGGCTGGACTAGATGACCCTTGGTGTCCCTGCCAACTCTACAATTCTATGATTCTATGGCACAGGTGAAGTTCTGTGTGAATTTTACTTTTCTCCCCTCTTTTTCGTCCACCAATCAGTTTCTTTCTCTTTAGGTCCCAGCCTTTGTTCCCAGGAAGAAGCCAATGGAAGAACATCAATCACCCGTAAGTCTTTGCTGCTGCTTCCAACCATTCCTTCATTCTGATCACTGGAAGGATTCGCGTAACAGAAGAGGGAGAGACTGTATGAACAACTCGGGAGGAAGAGGGAAAAGTGAGGCGGAGGGGGGAGGAAATGGGGTGGCAGAGACAAGGATGGAGGAGCAAACCACAGTGTGTCTGGGCAGAGAGGGAAGCAAAGAAGGCTTTTGTGTGTGGATAATAAAGGGAAGAATTTTTGATCTTGTTTCCCTATTTCCTGGGGAGAAGAGGATCACAATTTTGGATGGATGCTCCGGTATCTTCTCCAGCTGCAAAATATGCTTCTCTCCTCAGTCCTCCTGCTGTTGAAACAGTTTTTTCCCCCTCCTTTATGTTGTGAAGGAAGAATTGGCCAGGGTGCATGTCCTAATACGAGCGGGTGACAGCATCTTTGAGGAAAGGAAGAAGGTGCTGGTTCAGGACGCTTATGTCAGGCATATTATAGAGCCAGACAAGCCCTTTTACAAGCCTGGAGAGACAGGTAGGCATGACCATACCCCCCAACATTTCTCTGATGAAAACAGGGATGTCCTATTCCATAATAAAGGGACGCGGGTGGCGCTGTGGTCTAAACCACTGAGCCTAGGCCTTGCTGATCAAAAGGTTGGCGGTTCGAATCCCCGTGACGGGGTGAGCTCCCGTTGCTTGGTCCCAGCTCCTGCCAACCTAGCAGTTCGAAAGCATGCCAAAAAGTGCAATGTTGGTGTTCCGTTGCGCCAGAAGCGGCTTCGTCAAACTGGCCACATGACCCGGAAAAACTGCGGAGCGGACAAATGCCAGTTCCCTCAGCCTGTAAAGCGAGATGAGCGCTGCAACCCCAGAGTCGGTCACGACTGGACCTAATGGTCAGGGGTCGCTTTACCTTTACCTTAAGGAAAAGTAGGACATTCTGGGATCAAATCAGAAACAGGGATGGCTTCTGTAAATCTGGGACTGTCCCTGGAAAATAGGGACACTTGGAGGGTCTGCATGAGTGGCCAGAAGAACCTGGAAGGTGACTGAAGCAGCTGTTTCATCTTTTGGGGTGGGGTGATGTGAAACTATTACAATAAGCATTGTAAAAGCTAAGCTGCTAAGCCACAGTAGACCCTGATCATCTGCAGGGGAGCATAAGCTCACACAAGCTAAATTAGCATAAGCAAAATCTATGTTGCAAATAACATAGCAGGAAAAACAGAAGTGGAGGGGAAACGAAAGATTAGACCTACTTCTGTTTTCTTTTCTTTTTTAAAAAAATATACAGCAACATGAAGTAGAGAATGAAACTCAAATAAGACAGAGCCTAAGAGAGAAGAACATCTACTCTTTAAAAAATTATTTTCAATAGCAAATAACATGCATGCATTTGCTTTTTTTAGTCAGGTTTCGCATTGTGAGGCTTGATGAAGAATTTAAGGCCATTGATGAAACGGTGAGTATTACTCCCGGTATCACAAGGAGCAAAGGCTTTCCATTCAAGGTCTGTGCAGAAACATTCATACCAGAAGGGTCTTATCATTGCCTCTCTGGTCCAAGACATTATGGCACCTGAGGCCAAAATGGCGCCTCCTTCCTTACCAAGGAAGAAAGCGTGAGGGGAGATCTACAACAGGAACAATGGGGGGAAAGAAAGATCCACATTGGGATCTGCTGTCCTGGTGGATTCTGTCACCCAAGGCAATCACCTTGCCTCATGGGTAGGCTGGCCTTGCTAGGGATGATGGGAATTGTAGTCCAAAATGTATGGAGGGCAGCAGGTCAGAAACGACTGGTTTACGCAAGGCAGGTTCACTTGATCTAAATTATTTTGCTGGCTTTGCAGAATTTTGCGGGAACTGGAGGCTATTCTTTTCCTCATGAGGCTGATTTTGTGCTCTTTCTGACTCTTGTCTCTCTCCTTCATTCTTTGCAGATCCCTTTGATACAGTTGATTGTAAGTACAGGCAATTGCCGTTTTAGGCATGACTGATTGGTGCACAATCGTGCACACGGGCACAGTGCCAAATCCAGAAGTGACTTGGAAATGTCATAAAAGATTTCATGAACAGGGTGGGGCGGGGGTGGAATGGGGGTGGAAAGGGGCGTTTCACTTTCACGCACGTGCATACTGACCCAGTGTGCAACCTCCATGGCTTTTGAGACCTCTTTGCATATCTACACAATACTGTAAAATGTAAGATGGCGGGGGGGGGGGAGGGGAGAGCGATTGAATCATAAATTACAAAATTTATATACAGATCCCAATAATTGTAGCTATATGAGAGACTGAGAATTATTTGTTATAGTAACAAACCGTGCAGAAGTGCTGTATTTAATCACATCCAAGTCACCACCCTGTAATAGTCACTCCCTCCTTTTTCTGACCCAAAAAATGGTCCCAGAGTAAAGGGCTGAGGGAGCCGGCGTCCACTTCCGGGTCATGTGGCCAGCATGACTAAGCCGCTTCTGGCGAACCAGAGCAGCACACGGGAACGCCGTTTTCCTTCCTGCTGGAGCGGAACCTATTTATCTACTTGTACTTTGAAGTGCTTTTGAACTGCTAGGTTGGCAGGAGCAGGGACCGAGCAACGGGAGCTCACCCCGACGTGGGGATTCTAACCGCCAACGTTCTGATTGGCAAGTCCTAGGCTTTGTGGTTTAACCCACAGCGGCATCCGTGTCCCAGAGTAGTCCCCACATAATAGTTGCAGGGCTACTTTCACCGCGCATGCTCTTACTGGCCGAAGGCAACAGGTGGAGGTGGGCAGGCAGGCAAGCAAGAGGGGAGAGTGAGGCACAAGAGACTCACAAGACTTGCCTCTTCCCACGAGATCTAAACTGTACGGTGGATACATTAAGGTACGGACAGTGCTGGATTTACATATAAGCTAAACAAGCTATAGCTTAGGGCTCCACTCTATTGGGGGCTCAAAAAAAAAAAAAAATTAAAGGAAGAAAACCCCAGGAGGTTCTTTGATAAAAAATGTATTTTGTTATGTGCAAATGGCTTTAGATACCTATTAGGTTCATAAATTACCATATAGCATATATTCAACACAAAAAAACCTGCAACAATTTGTTGTTGACAAAGGACAGCTGGACATATAAAGGACCCCATTACCTTCAATAGCTTAGGGTCTCATCAAACCTAAATCCAGCCCTGGGCATGGAGCACCTTGTTTTCTCACCACATCATGTAGGGTTGCCATATTTCAAAAGGTGAAAATCTAGACACAAAAGTTGGTTTGGGCAAAGCTTTTTGTTGTTAAGGGAAATTTGCCAAAATCTACACTACTGACATGGGCTGTCATATGTTTCCCAGATATTTCAGCACAGTTTCCTTTTTTAAAAAAATAGTTTTTCTTAAGTTTTTCTAATTTGCATATCAAGATAATCATTTGGACAACCTTCAATTAATGACTTCCCTTCTTCTCTTTCCGTGGTTCATTTTGCACACCATACATCCCTGCATATTTTAACATGAACTAAACCATTCAGTAATCCATTGTTACACCATCAAAACATATTTACACTGCTGAATTTATCTTAATGCTACCAGTGTTTTTAAATGTACTCAACTTTCACCCAAATAATCAGTAAACACTTTCCAGTCTTCTTTAAATGTATATTCTTCTTGTTCTCTTATTCTGTATGTTAAATCTGCAAGCTGCACATATTCCATCAATTTAAGTTGATTAAATTCTTCTTAGATTGGGACCTCACTTGAATTCCATCAGCACTGTTTCCAACGGCCAAATCCAGGCTATGTCCAGGAAATTCCAGACATATGGCAACCCTACATGGTCACCAGGTTTTTCCTCATGTAATGGTTGCACACACCCCTTTGTTTGCAAAGGAAAAATCAGCACAAAAAATGTGATCATTAGGCGATGAAATACGGTATGCAATACTGTCCCTTCCATGCTTTTTTTTTTTTTTTTTTCAGAGTGTATTATGCAACAATATTAAATAGCATCTTCCCCCTGTGACAGCTCTCTTCTCACTCCTTCACAGATCCCAGGAGATAAAACCCCTTTGCATGAGTTTTGCTTTCTGCCCCTTCGCAGAGGAGGGAGTGTTGTGGGTACACTCAGAAGTGGGTGCAATAGCAGATAATAATAATTATCAGTCCGTCATATAGCTACAGATATTGGGATCTGGTGGATAAAGGAATGGAGCTGATAAAGATCGCAGCAACAGAGTAGTGGAATGGAAGGGAAATGATTGCGGGTGCAAAAACAAGCAAGATAGCAAACCCAGGCTAGGATATTTTCCCCCCAAGCCCCATCCGCCGGCATAGACGGCAAGCGGCAGAATATCAAGGAAGATGCTGACTGAAAAAACAGAAGTACCGTACTTTTCTGTGTATAAGACTAGGGGTTTTTTTACTTTAAAATAAGGTTAAAAATGTGGGGGCGTCTTATACACGGATAGTGCATATGCCCATTTTCTTAATTTGTGGTACCCCAAAGTAGGGGGCGTCTTATACATGGGGGCGTCTTATACACGGATAAATACGGTATGTCGACTTTTGTGGGCCACTTGCACAGTGCTCTGTTGGGGCACAGCCTCAGTATTGCTGAAGACTGCAGCCAAGTGAATGAACTGTGGGAATGTTGAGGACAGTAGGAGAGGATATATTGATTAATATTATCCTTCCTCACTCACGCTAGTGAGCTTGTAGCATTACCATGTACATAGCAGGAAGCTAATGGACTGGATTCATGAAAATCACTTGAGTTAAGCAATCCAGTCTGGTTTGTCCGGATTGGATTTGTTCCTGGTAAGTCCCCTTTTGTTCCCTCTTAAAACGACGACGACGATTACTATCTTCTTTTAAAGTAATGATAAGGTTTACTCACATTCAGTCCACAGTGTGATCCTGAAGGCAGGCTTTAGCTTGTAGTTACAGATACAGAGAAAAGTGTGGGTTCATCCTCTTGTGAGGAATGAGCCCATGTGCTGCTGGCCGAGAGCCAGCACACAGCAAAAGGTATTTAGATAGTACAAGAGGAAGAGCATCAAGAGAAAGATGGCTGTGTGACCAGCCCTTTTATGGGGTCTCAGAAGGTCACACCCATCTACCTGGTCACATACAGGGAGAGGATGCTCCAGACCAGGTGTGACAGGAAGTCCTCCTGGCTGGAGCAACATTCCCCTGTGTGTCCGCTCTGGGCAAACAGGAAATGTTGTATTTGACTGCTTTTCTGATGTTACAAACCACACAAACATCACAGTCTTTTTGGTCTTATCCCTGTGCCCAGGATCCTAATGAAAACCGAATAGGCCAGTGGGTGGATGTGAAGCCTCAAAATGGCTTTGTGGACCTGTCTTTTCCTCTGGCCTCCGAAGCAGTCATGGGACGATACATCATAGCAGTTGGAAGTTTATTTTTTGGACGTGAGGATACAAGAAGAGAGTTCATGGTGGAAGAATACGGTGAGATTTCAAAGGGAGACCACTTTGGTTGCAGTGTGTGTGTGTGTGTGTGTGTGTGCGCTCACGCATGTGCTAACAAGAAAAGGAATACAGGCTATTACATTATTATTATTCCTTCCTTTCACTCTGTTTGGTATAATATGTAGCGATAGGGATACAGTATTTTTGTTTTTGATTGAATTTACAGCATACCTGTCCTGGCTAGGAATCCTAGTTGCCTTAGATATTTGGATTTTTAAATTTTATTTTATTAAATAAAAAGTGAACCTCTTCCCCCTGCAGAGAAAGGCAAGCTCCTTAATCAGACTTCCATCTTAAAAACTGTTATTCTTATATGTGAGTTGGCACACAAAAGATGGCGGTGTAAAACTGAAATCACTCAGTGCCATTGCTTGCCGTTTCTCCTCTCATTGCCACGTGGGCAGAGAGATGGAGGGAGAAGCTCCCTTCACCAACATCTGTTTATAATCTGAACCCAGGATGTGAACTACTGATGCAGAGATGCAGACTTTCCTCCATTCCCACACCACTTGCGACAGATGTCAGTTGACCTTAGTGATGTTCTCCAAAGCTCTGGGAAACTCTCCCAAAGGAATTGCCCCAGGGCAGAGGTTTTCAACGTTTTTGAGTCCATGGCTCCCTTGACCAACCACATTCTTCCCGCAGCACCCCTGTGGGGCTCAGGAGCCCAGTTATGTTGCCCCTTGCCTGCAGAGCTGGCAGCCGCTCACCCGTTTTTGAACACCCTCCCTTGGGGAGTGTTCCCTCGGCCTCCTTTCCTCTCCCCTCTCCTTGGGAGTCCTCTGGTGCTGCCACCCCTGGTCTCTGAGCTGCCCCCCACTCGCCTCAAAGAGAGGTGCCTCCTCACACTGACCCACAGATGCCCGGGAATTGTCTGCCCATTCCCAAAAGCAAGGGCAGGGGGACTGGCTGACTAGACTTCCTCACCTTGCTTGCTTGCTTGCTTACTCACTAGGAGGCCGCCTCAGCTCCTAGTAACCAGCACCCCCTGGCCAGCCCCAGAAGCACCATTTGCCTGTGGAGCTTGTAGCCAGGGCTGCACAACAGCCGCACAAGCCTTTGGGAGGCAGAGACACAAGAAGGCATCAGAGGAGAGGGTGGGAAGGAAAGAGGGACAGAGGCCAGTGTTGCCCACAGCACCCCTGACCATCATTCAAGGCTCCCCAGGGTGCCACGGCACCGCACATGGCGAAACCACACCCCTTCCAACAGATGAAAGAATAGTGCAAACACAATTTACATAGCTGTTCCTTTCTTTCCAAAAACAGTCAGATTCTGTGAGGTCTCAAAACAGTCATAAGGGCCATAGGGAAAACGAAGGGTGAAATAATTTGGTTACCAGATCATGTAAATGCCGCATAAAATAGTGAGTGAACAAAAAGTAATTTCAGAGTAAACCCCTAGTATGAACCACGTGAAAGCACCCCAGTGCAGAGCCCTATACTTACTTGTCCTGAGCAATGTTGAGTAAGCATCAGACACAGGTGAAGGAGGTTTTTTTAAATGCTCCTTTAAAAGCTTAGGAATGATTCCTGACTTTGAATTCAGAAATGTGAATTATTAGCACATATCACGCCAGTGCTAAGGGATTTGCACTTGCTGCCTATTAGCTACTGAACCAGTTTTAAGATCCTATTGTTTACGTATAAAGCCCTAAACAACTCTGGATTGGGATATTAGAAAAACTCCTTTATCCTCCACTGCCCAGTGAAGGCATTTAAGATTGGGAAATGGGAAATGGATAGCTTTTCCATGGCCTGGATATTTTTGGCTTGTGGTAGCATGGGAATGGGCTTTTTCACTGGTGATGCCACTGTTGTGGACTGCCTTCCCTGCTGAAATACGAGAAACCCCATCAGTATTGGTATTCTGCCAGTTCTTAGAGACACACCTGTATAGACAAGCATTCCTCTCAAATTGAACTTCCTCATCTAATTGTTTTAATTCAGGGGTGTCCAAACTTTTTTCAAAGAGGGCCAGATTTGATGAAGTGAACATGCATGAGGACCGACCCAAGATTGAAGTTGTTGAGCTTTTTTTTCAGGATTTCACCTCAGGAAATAAACTGCCACAGGGGCTGGATTAAACTGACTAGCAGGCCAGATTAGGTCCCTGAAAGACTTTGGACATACCTGTTTTAATTGCTCTCTTAACTGTTTTAATTGCTATGATTTTTAATGGGCTTGCTTTATTCTATGTTTTAACTATGCACGCTTTACTATTTTGATGGAATTGGTTTATTGTACATTTTATTTATGTATGATTTAAAAAAAAGATATTTTGTTACTTTCAAATCACTTAGAAGCCAATTTATCAGAGAAGAGGTATATAAATAAAATAATTAAAATAATTAAAAGTGCAGAAGGAGCAGTGTTCAGTTTTGGTGATGCAGCTGCGGCATGTGGAACTTTTTATCCACTCACTTTCTTCTCCGTCTCTCTTCCTGACTCATTACAGAGCTGCCTAAATTTGAAGTTGTGATTGAGTTTCCGAAATTGGTCACCACAGCGGATGAAGAATTCCAGGTCAAAGTGTGTGGCAAGTAAGTAAAATTTCATGGTAAACAATGTTCCTAAAATGGGACCTTTCCAGACACAGTTTTACTGTGTTGACATGTGTTTCTTCATCCCTTTGGGTCTATTTGTTTTTCTCCTTCTCTGTCTCAATGCACATTTATAATGCGGGGACATACTTGTTTAACTGCTATTCCTTCCCTGGCGGGAACCACAAGAAAGAAGCAATCTGCTAGAGAATGCTTAGCACCCGAGCCAAATTATGATTTTCAGGCTTTTTTTTTTGGAAGAGAGAGTAAAACTATGGCTGTCAAATCAGAGTAGAACCAATATAAATTTGTAAGGTAGCACCAGTATATTGTTTGCTCTTGTCCCCTCTCACCCCCATTTTTGCACTTCTAAAAATGAAAATAAAATAATGTGCTATGGCGCCCAAACTTCCAAGATTTCCCCCTCTGTATTAAAACGGTTGTTTTGGCTCACGTCATTCTGTTTATGGAAGCAGCTGTTCATTTGCATTTGTGCTCCCCCCGCTAGCTTTTTACATTCAGAGAACCCTTCCTCACATCAAATTGTCTGTCAGGGAATCCTTCCTTGCACATTGAGAATGGATATCTGTGTGCTGAAGAAAATTCTCGGGAAATTTTCTGGGGCAGCCACTTTGAATTCATACTGGGTATGTACTTGCTATCATTACACATGAGCTGAGTGCTCTGAGATCATACCTAGCTCTCTCCTGAGGTTAGCACATATAAAAAGGGAATCAACAATGGAGAACAACCTCTCTGCCAGTAGTGATAATCAGTAGCATAGCATGGGTTGCTCGCGCCCGGGGCTACATGGAGGGGATGTGTGGGAGGGAAACGGATGGAGTATGCATGTTCATTCAACTGTCTAACAGCATCTGCATCACCCAGGAGATCGCAGTCGCAGAGATAAGAAAAGAAGCGTCTTCCATTGTCTGGAAAAGTCACTTCCTGATTTGCATGGAGAAGCTGTTTTCAACGGAGCCCAGCAACGGAAGCGTGTAGCTGTACTGAGGCAGCACCGGGTGTTGATGTTTTGTTCCCCTAACAATTTTGTGCCCCGGGCAACTGCCCCCCCTGCTATGCCACTGGTGATAATCTTATTGAATGACCTCTAGTGAGCTCCTGAAGACAAATTGCTTTAGACTAAAACATATTTCTTTCATCGGTGTTCTCTCTCTCTCTCTCTCTCTCTCTCTCTCTCTCTCTCTCTCTCCATCTCCCTCCACTCCCTCTCTGCTCTGTCACCTGTGCCTTAGGTACACATATGGGAAGCGTGTTCAAGGAAATGTGCAGCTCCGCTTCACTAGAAGATTATCATATTTTTTTCATATGCGTAATACAAATGAAACATTACCGGACATTGAACATGAGTACACAGCTCAGGTGAGATAAATGGGAGGGGCTGTCTTTGGACAGAATGGAGGCTGGGATGAGTTATCTGCCCCCTACCCTTTGGTTCAGAGACTGGCGGCCTCATCCTGTTGCGCTCGCCTTCCATTTCTCTATGTCCACGAAGAAGGTGGATGGAGAGGATCAGAAACATCTGCCGTGTGCCAGATTGATCTGTAGGGAAAATGCCTCAGTATCTTATTTTGTCCATTTGGTAGTGAGCATTCAGTGCTCCTCATACAACAACAGTGCCTATTTTGCTAGGTGTGGTTCACACCCCTAATCATGTGATTCTGTAACAGATGCAAGATGCTATTTCTAAAGGTGAGGACCATGATTATTGCACCTTGCATATTGTTTAGTCGTTTAGTCGTGTTCGACTTTTTGTGACCCCATGGACCAGAGCATGCCAGGCTCTCCTGTCTTCCACTGCCTCCCGCAGTTTGGTCAGACTCATGTTCGTAGCTTCGAGAACACTGTCCACCCATCTCATCCTCTGTCGTCCCCTTCTCCTTGTGCCCTCTATGTTTCCCAACATCAGGGTCTTTTCCAGGGAGTCTTCTTTTCGCATGAGGTGGCCAGAGTCTTGGAGCCTCAGCTTCAGGATCTGCCCTTCCAGTGAGCACTCAGGGCTGATTTCCTTCAGAATGGATAGGTTTGATCTTCTTGCAGTCCATGGGACTCTCAAGAGTCTCCTCCGGCACCATAATTCAAAAGCATCAATTCTTCTGTGATCAGCCTTCTTTATGGTCCAGCTCTCACTTCCATACATCACTACTGGGAAAACCATAGCTTTCATTATACGGACCTTTGTCGGCAAGGTGATGTCTCTGCTTTAATACATATTGTAAATTGTAAACTGCCCTGTGATCCTCGGATGAAGGGCAGTATAGAAATTTAATTTAATTTAATAAGTAATAATAATAATAATAGCAATAGTAGCTTAGGTGGATGTGGCGATAACACGTTAATGTCATAGCAAGAGAAGGGAGAACAAGATGCACAGCTGTTGCTTTCGGGGAAAATGAGCATTTGCCACAACAGAGCCTGACTCGTGCTTCTTGTTTTACATGGCTAGTACAAGTCTGAAAAAATATGTGCCAGACTAAGGCACTCCAGATCTAGAAACCAACCAACCAGGTTTTACTGCATGATGCCTTATGGAATGTTACCCTGGCTGCAGACAACCAGGGAGGGCTAATTTCTTGTGTTGCGTTTATATCCCACCACCAGACTCAGAACTGCTCAGCTTCAGCCAGGGGATGGCCTCCTGTGCCTTCAGATCACCCTTCCGATCACCTTTTATTTGCACTTCCTCTGCTCCACCCCATCCAGGCTGACTTGATTGACAGCTGGTGTGGCAGCTCAGTATCTCAGAATCTACACGTACAGCTTTGCTAATGTACTTTCTTTTTAAACAATATTTATTAAATTTTCCATTTTAGCAATCCAATGAAAACCACATTAAAAATATTCCCAGTTATAATACAATCAAAATGACCAAGTTTTATGCCGATTTTTGTATCTTTGAGTGACTTCCCAAGCTCTGAATTCAGGGAGTGATGATCTCACATTGCGCTGCGTTCCTTAAATAACCCAGGTCGTCCCAATAAAACATTCCCGATGTTGATCCTTCATTTATTTTTAACAGCCTCTGAATTCATTTTGGGAGCGGATTAGTCCTATGTAGTTCTGTGTGAAATTAGTTTTTCTTCTTTATTTTCTTTATCTTCTTGTTGTGATCCAACATTTCTCTTCGGCGACCCTCACTTTGGAGAGTTGCCAATAACGTACAGTACATTGCACCCAGTGCCTCCTGCCCCTTCTTCCTTCCGGATGGGCAGCAGGTGTTGGATGATCAGTGGGTGGAGCTGCCCCCCCAGCCCTGGGGGGGGGGGTTTGGGAGGATAATTACTCCCATATTATCTTTGAACTCTGCATGAAATGGACGCAGCCGTTCGCCATGGCAGACAAATAGGAAGTCTCTAATGTACTTTCTTTTCTTTGTATCTCCAGACAGATGAGACCGGCTTTGCTTATTTTACCATCAATGGGTCTGATTTAAATCTTTCTCAAAGCGGCTATGATGAGTATGTCAACTTTGTGGCAGAACTGGAGGAGAAAGGAACAGGTACAAAGGAAATAACAAGAAATGGGAACATACAATTTTCACCTTTGGCAAATCAGTCCACCCCCCCGCACACACCCCTTGATAGCCTTGCCTTTCTGATTTTTTCCAGTCAACTGTTTTCAAACCCTTAGGCTATTGAAAGTTGCTTTTGTATCAGGCTATTTACAGGGCTTGGGTTCATTCCTGCATTTCATCTGATTTTTCAAGGCACACATGACCTGCCTTGCAGATACCTAGGGATCCTCTGCAGCTCACACAACAAATTTTGTCCTGGTGGTACAGTTTCCTCAAGAGAAATGGCATTTATCACAAGTCGTTATATCTGACTCAGTGAGCTGTGACCAGTTTTTTGTTTAAGAGAACTGAAAGTGCTGGAAGCCTCCATGTAGACATGCTCACGAGAGTGACGTCCTTGCAGTTTTTTTTTTTAAATAATATTTATTATTTTTCCAAAAACTTAAACACTAAAAAACAACAACAATACAATACAACACATCAAATTAACAAAACAAAACAAAAACAATAAAATAAATCAAACAATTTCATTATCCCATCTTTCCTTCACTTATTTCCACGACCTCTTCACACCTCCCGTTTTGTATTCCACTTCTGTTAATTATTTCAGCAATTCCTTACCATCTTCCTCTGTTTTCTATCCTATAATTATCTTAACTCATTCTAACCTTATTTTTTCCTTTAATGCTCTATTAACCTATCTGTACTTAATTCCTTATAACATTTCTACTAAAGCCATATAACTTCATTCCAACATTTTTCTAACATTCATTAATTTTACAGTGTTTCTGTAGATAGTCTTTAAATTTTTTCCAATCTTCTTCCACCGACTCTTCTCCCTGGTCTCGGATTCTGCCAGTCATTTCCGCCAGTTCCATATAGTCCATCAACTTCATCTGCCATTCTTCCCGGGTGGGCAAATCTTGTGTCTTCCAATACTTCGCGATGAGTATTCTTGCTGCTGTTGTTGCATACATAAAAAAAGTTCTGTCCTTCTTTGGCACCAATTGGCCGACCATGCCCAGGAGAAAGGCCTCTGGTTTCTTCAGGAAGGTATATTTAAATACCTTTTTCATTTCATTATAAATCATCTCCCAGAATGTCTTAATCCTTGGGCATGTCCACCAAAGGTGAAAGAATGTGCCTTCAGTCTCATTACATTTCCAACATTTATTTTCGGGCAAATGGTAAATTTTTGCAAGCTTGACTGGTGTCATGTACCACCTATAAATCATTTTCATTAAGTTTTCTCTTAGGGCATTACATGCCGTAAATTTCATACCTGTGGTCCATAACTGTTCCCAGTCAGCCATCATTATGTTATGTCCAAAATCTTGTGCCCATTTAATCATAGCTGATTTCACCGTTTCGTCCTGAGTGTTCCATTTCAACAGCAAGTTATACATTTTTGACAAATTCTTAATTTTTGAGTCTAGCAATTCTGTTTCCAATTTTGATTTTTCCACCTGGAAACCAACTTTTTTGTCCAAATTGTATGCCTCCATAATTTGATAATAATGGAGCCAATCTCACACTTTATTTTTCAATTTTTCAAAACTCTGCAATTTTATTCTGTCTCCATCTTGATCCAGAATTTCCCAATATTTCGGCCATTTGGCCTCCATATTGAGTTTTTTCTGTGCCTTTGCTTCCATTGGTGACAACTATCTTGGGGTTTTCTTTTCTAACAAATCTTTATATCTTATCCATACATTAAACAATGCTTTCCTAACAATATGATTTTTAAACGCTTTATGTACTTTTACCTTATCGTACCACAAATATGCATGCCAGCCAAATACATTATTGAAACCTTCTAAATCCAACACGTCAGTGTCTTCAAGAAGCAGCCATTCTCTCAGCCAGCAAAAAGCCACTGATTCATAATAAAGTTTGAGGTCTGGCAGGGCAAATCCACCTCTTTTTTTAGCATCAGTTAATATCTTAAATTTTATTCGAGGCTTTTTGCCCTGCCAAACAAATCTGGAAATATCTTTCTGCCACTTCTTGAAACAATCCATCTTATCCAAAATTTGTAATGTTTGAAACAAAAACAACATCCTTGGCAGCACATTCATTTTTATCACAGCAATTCGGCCTAACAATGATAACTTCAAATTTGACCAGATTTCTAAGTCCTTTTTCACTTCAATCCAACATTTTTCATAATTATCTTTAAATAAGTTCCCATTTTTGGCTGTCATATTAATCCCCAAGTATTTCACTTTCTTTACCACAGTCAATCCTGTCTCATTCTGAAACCTATCTCTTTCAATCGGTGTTAAATTTTTCTCTAAAACCTTAGTTTTTAGCTTGTTCAATTTAAAACCTGCCACTTGACCAAATTCTTGAATTAATTCTAAAACTCTTTTAGTGCTAGATTCTGGCTCCTGTAACGTCAATACTAAGTCATCTGCAAATGCTCTCAGTTTGTACTGTTTAGCTCCGACCTGTATACCTTTAACCAACCGGTCCTTTCTAATCATTTTTAGCAGGACCTCCAGGACCAATATAAAAAGCAGTGGGGAAATTGGGCACCCCTGTCGTGTCCCTTTTTCTATCTTAAGTTCTTCCGTGACCACATTATTTACAATTAATTTGGCCTTTTGTTCAGAATATATTGCACCTATACCATTTTCAAAACCTTGGCCTACCCCGATCCCATGTAAATTCTTCTTCATAAAACTCCAAGAGATATTGTCAAAGGCTTTCTCCGTGTCCACAAATATCAAAACTGCTTTAGTATTTACCGTATTTTTCACTCCATAGGACGCACTTTTTCCCCTCCAAAAATGAAGGGGAAATGTGTGTGCGTCCTATGGAGCGAATGCAGGCTTTTGCTGAAGCCTGGAGAGCGAGAGGCATCGGTGCGCACCGACCCCTCTCGCTCTCCAGGCTTCAGGAAGCTATCCGCAAGCCTTGCAAGCCCGGTGGGAGTTCCCGCGGGCTCACAAGGCTTGCAGGCAGCAGCCTGCAGCCCCGGCGAGTGTCCGCAAGCCTTGCGCGCCCGGCAGGAGGTCCCGCCGAGCGCGCGAGGCTTGGGGCAGCAGCCTGTCGCCCGAAGCACAGGGAGCCCTCCGGAGGGCTCCCGTGCTTCGGGGAGTGTCTGCAAGCCTTGCGCGCCCGGCAGGAGGTCCCGCCGAGCGCGCGAGGCTTCGGGCGGCAGCTTGCTGCCCGAGCACGGGAGCCCTCCGGAGGGCTCCCCGTGCTCGGGCGAGTGTCCGCAAGCCTTGCGCGCCCGGCAGGAGGTCCCGCCGAGCGCGCGAGGCTTTGGGAGGCAGCTGTCGCCCGAAGCACGGGAGCCCTCCGGAGGGCTCCCGTGCTCGGGCGAGTGTCCGCAGCCTTGCGCGCCCGGCAGGAGGTCCCGCCGAGCGCGCGAGGCTTGGGGCAGCAGCCTGTCGCCCAAGCACGGGGAGCCCTCCGGAGGGCTCCCCGTGCTTCGGGGAGTGTCCGCAAGCCTTGCGCGCCCGGCAGGAGGTCCCGCCGAGCGCGCGAGGCTTCGGGCGGCAGCTGTCGCTCGAAGCACGGGGAGCCCTCCGGAGGGCCCCCGTGCTTCGGGAGTGTCCGCAAGCCCTGCGCGCCCGGCAGGAGGTCCCGCCGAGCGCGCGAGGCTTGGGGCAGCAGCCTGTCGCCGAAGCACGGGGAGCCCTCCGGAGGGCTCCCGTGCTCGGGAGTGTCCGCAAGCCTTGCGCGCCCGGCAGGAGGTCCCGCCGAGCGCGCGAGGCTCGGGCGGCAGCTTGTCGCCCGAAGCACGGGAGCCCTCCGGAGGGCTCCCGTGCTTCGGGCGAGTGTCCGCAAGCCTTGCGCGCCCGGCAGGAGGTCCCGCCGAGCGCGCGAGGCTTGGGCGGCAGCTGTCGCTCGAGCACGGGGAGCCCTCCGGAGGGCTCCCGTGCTCGGGCGAGTGTCCGCAAGCCTTGCGCGCCCGGCAGGAGGTCCCGCCGAGCGCGCGAGGCTTGGGGCAGCAGCCTGTCGCCCGAAGCACGGGGAGCCCTCCGGAGGGCTCCCCGTGCTTCGGGGGAGTGTCTGCAAGCCTTGCGCGCCCGGCAGGAGGCCCCCCTGAGTGCGCGAGGCTTCGGGCGGCAGCCTGTCGCCCGAAGCACGGGGGGCCCTCCGGAGGGCTCCCGTGCTCGGGAGTGTCCGCAGCCTTGCGCGCCCGGCAGGAGGTCCCGCCGAGCGCGCGAGGCTTGGGGCAGCAGCCTGTCGCCCGAAGCACGGGAGCCCTCCGGAGGGCTCCCCGTGCTTCGGGAGTGTCCGCAAGCCTTGCGCGCCCGGCAGGAGGTCCCGCCGAGCGCGCGAGGCTTCGGGCGGCAGCTAGTCGCCCGAGCACGGGAGCCCTCCGGAGGGCTCCCGTGCTTCGGGAGTGTCTGCAAGCCTTGCGCGCCCGGCAGGAGGTCCCGCCGAGCGCGCGAGGCTTGGGGCAGCAGCCTGTCGCCCGAGCACGGGGAGCCCTCCGGAGGGCTCCCCGTGCTTCGGGAGTGTCTGCAAGCCTCGCGCGCCCGGCAGGAGGTCCCGCCCCGCGCGCGAGGCTTCGGGCGGCAGCTTGACGCCCGAAGCACGGGGAGCCCTCCGGAGGGCTCCCCGCGCTTTAGGCGAGTGTCTGCAAGCCTCGCGCGCCCGGTGGGAGGTCCCGCCGAGCGCGCGAGGCTTGGGGCGGTAGCCTGCAGCCCGAAGCAAGCGAGGCTTGGGGCGGGAGCCGCGGGGGGGGGGAATAATTTTTTTTATTCATTTCCCCCCCCAAAACACGAGGTGCGTCCTATGGGCCGGTGCGCCCTATAGAACGAAAAATACGGTATATTCACTTCTAATTTTTCCAAGATATCAATTATATTCCTCAGATTATCAGACAAATGTCTTCCCGGGAGAAAGCCCACTTGGTCTTTATGGGTCTCTTCCATCAATACTTTTTTCAATCTCTTGGCCAAAATATCTGCAAAAATTTTGTAATCCACATTAAGTAACGATATAGGGCGGTAGTTCTTAAGCTGGGTCTTTTCAGTCTCTGTTTTCGGTATAAGTGTAATATATGCCTTTTTCCACGACTCTGGCGCCCTTTTCCCTTCCAATATTTCATTGCAGACTTCCTTCAAAGGTTGCAATAACCACTCTTTCAGAGATCTGTAGTATCTGGAAGTCAGCTCATCCGGTCCTGGAGATTTGCCCAGTTGCCTATTTTGTATGGCACCTTCTACTTCCTGTTCAGATATTTTATAGTTCAACATTAATTTACTTTCTTGAGAGATTTTTTGTAGTCCATTTGTATTCAAAAATTGGTCTATGTCCATTTCCTTCTGTGGCCCTTGTGTGTATAATTGTTTAAAGTACCTCTGGAAGCAATTTCTAATCTCAATTGGGTTATGTATACTCTTTCCTTCCACTTCTAAGTTTGTAATGGTATTTAATTTTTGTCTTTTTTTCATTTGCCAGGCCAACAATTTCCCACTTTTGTTAGCTGATTCAAATGTTTTTTGTCTCATTTGTTTGATTTTCCATTCTATTTCCTGATTCATCATTTCCATATATTGTACTTGATATAATTTTATTTCTCTCAAAATCTCCTGGGACTTTGGTTTTGCTCTCAATTTCTTCTCGCCTTCTTTTATTTTCTCCAAAATTTTATCTTTCTTCTCCTTTTGACTTCTCTTCTTTATTGCATTCTGTTGTATCAAAAACCCTCTCATAACAGCTTTGCTTGCGTCCCAGATTACTCTTTTTTCTACATTAGTGTTCATATTTATTTCAAAGTAGTCTCTCAAAGTTTTTTGGGCCTTTTTATATACTTCTTCATCTCTAAATAAGGTGTCATTCATCCTCCATCTGAAGGATCCGGTTGTTATTTGTTTCATCTCCATCCTTACAGCGTTATGGTCAGAGCAGGTTTTTGGGCAGATTTCTACTTTCTTTATCTTTGGTGCCATTCCTCTAGTTATCCATATTTGGTCAATTCTAGTCCATGTCATCTTGGCTTCAGAGAAGAAGGTTCCCTCTCTTCCCAGGGGGTTCTTTACCCTCCAGATGTCCACTAAGTCCATGTTGTCTGTCATCTCAAAAAATGTTTTCGGTAATCTACCATCCTTGGTAACTACCTGTCTTTGTGCCTTGTCCATATTTGTAGATACTACTCCATTCATGTCCCCCATCAAGATCAAATTGTAAGCCAAATAATCCAGTTGAGTCTCATGTAGCTTTTTATAGAATTCAGATTTCCCCTCATTCGGTGCATAGATTCCCACAATCAAAAATTTCTCTCCTTGTACTTGAATTTCAATTGCCAAAAATCTTCCTTGGTCGTCTTTAAAGATAAATTTCGGTGATAGTCTCTCCTTTGCATAAATCACAACTCCTCTTTTTTTAACTTTGTCAGATGAAACAAACTCCTGTCCCAATCTTTTATTAATCAATAACTTCCTATGTGCCCTTGTTATATGTGTTTCTTGTAAACAAATCAAGTTCAATTGTTCTTTTTTTAATAGATGAAACACACTTTTTCTCTTTCGAGGAGAGTTCAAACCGTTGCAATTCCAGCTTAATAGTTGCAGAGCCATGATGGGGGCTACTTCACTTTACCTCCAACTGCTCCGAGTGTCAGTTCTTGTTCTGTAGGTAATGTCACTTTTTCTGGACCGTGCAATCCAAAAGATAAATTTGATATGTCTAATATGCCTTTTGGCTCTTCTTCAGATTCCACTTCTTTCTGTAGATCTTCTTCGTGGTCTTTCAAGAACCTGTCTTTTTCCTCAACTGATTTTATTTTTATCTTTCTTACTTTGTATTTAAAGGACAGGCCTTGAGGGAATTCCCACCTAAAAAGGATTCTATTTCTTTTCAACAGGGCCACTAGATCTCCGTATTTAAACCTTAAGTCCAGCAGATGCTTTGGGATATCCTTAAAAATCACCACACTTGAATCGTCAATTTCCAAAGTTTTTTGAGAATGCAGATTCAGAATTTTATCTCTCTCTTCTTTTGTTCGAAAGGTAATCAAACAGTCTCTCACCTTGTCCTTGCTTTGTCTTCTTCCGAGTCTAAATGCATTCACTATCTTAAATTCTTCCTTCCCCGAATCCAGTTGCCAAAAATCTATGAATTCCTGTGTAAGAAAATCAGCCAGGTTATCTTTCTCCCGTTCTGACACCCTGCTCCAGGATCAGGACGGTGGAAAGTTACTTTACTTTACACTCACTTCTGCAGGTTTAAACAGTCCGAAAAAATCCCCCCTCTTCTCCTGCTTCCGAAGGGGGTTCAACAATTTTAAATGATGAAAGTTAATCTTTTACAAGCCATTTTCTGAGCTCTAGTTTGCCATGTCTTTGCTTTAATCTATCTACAAAGAAACGGAAGGCTGACTTCCTGTTTAGACCTTCCCGTTTCAGTGCCAAATTGAGGTAAACTTTTAAGTCCAATTTTCCTTTCTGCTCACAAGTCCTTACTTAAAGTCCAATTGTCCGAGTTTAAGTACTCACGGGTGATTATTTTAGAAGCCAAATTGTCCCAGGAAAAGGCAGCGCTCTCCGGCAACGGCTGTGCGGCTTCGCTCCACGGAAGAAGCAGTTGACTCTCAGCACCGCGCCACTTCCCCCTCTTCGCTCCGGAGCCCGTTAGTGGGTTCTTTTGCGGGTTGGGGGGGCGCTAAAGGTGCCCGCCGAGTCCCATGGTCACAGGCTTCATCTGCCTGTGATTTTGAAAGGGTCCCCGCTTCGCCGTAGCGGAAAAGACCCGTTTCGCGTGGAGCTAGTCCCTCCAGATCAGAGGGAGTCCGCCATTGCCGATGGCGCCACCCCGGAAGTCCCCGGAAACACTTCCTAATCTCCACTGGATTGTGTATATTTTTTCCTTCCACTTCCAAATTCGTGATAGTATTGAGTTTTTGTCTTTTTTTCATTTGCCAGGCCAACAATTTATTTGCCGATTCAAAGGTCTTTTGCCTCATCTGTTTAAACTTCCATTCTATTTCCTGATTCATCAGCTTCGCATATTGTACTTGATATAACTTTATCTCTTTCAGAATCTCCTGTGACTTTGGTTTTGCTCTCAGTTTCTTCTCTCCTTCCTCTATCTTTCCCAGGATTTTGTCCTTTTTTTCATTCTGAGTTCTCTTCTTAACTGCATTCTGTTGTATTAGGAATCCTCTCATAACCGCTTTGCTTGCATCCCAAATTACTCTTTTTTCCACTGTAATATTCATGTTTATCTCAAAGTAATCTCTTAGAGTTTTTTGGGCCTTCTTGGTCACCTCTTCATTCCTAAACAAAGTGTCATTCATCCTCCATCTAAAGGAACCAATTGGCATCAATTTCATTTCCATCTTCACCGCATTATGGTCAGAACAAGTTTTGGGGCAAATCTCTACTTTGCTGATCTTCAGAGCCAATCCCCTGGTTACCCAGATTTGGTCAATTCTTGTCCATGTCATTTTGGCCACAGAGAAGAAAGTTCCCTCTCTTCCCAGAGGGTTCTTCATTCTCCAAATGTCAACTAAGTCCATATTTTCAGTCATGTCAAAAAAGGTTTTTGGTAGTCTACTGTCAGGGAACTGCCATCGGAAGGAAGGGAGGTGAAAGGACTCAGACAGGTTGGAAGAGATTCAGCAGCTGAAGAGGGAACCAGCAAGGGGAGAGAAGCTGAACTGAGGGAGGTGAAAGGGCTCAGACAGGTTGGAAGAGACTCAGCAGCGGAAGAGGAAACCAGCAGGGGAGAGAAGCTGAACTGAGGGAAAGGGAGCTGGGGGATGGCTCAGAGATACTTCCAGCGAAAACAGTGGTGAGGTTTCCGGACCTCCTGTAGCGACACCCACTCCTCGCCGGAAACTGTCACGCAGAGAGTCCAGAAGACGTGTTTCCGTTAAGGAGCTTTTATGTTGGAAGCGATTACGAAAGCAACCACTGTCGGAATCTTCTAGTGACTAGAGGAGCCATGTCAGAGGGGCTCAGTCACAGACAGAGGTTTGTGGACTTGAACAAACTCTGAGGGAATACGATTTTACGCACAAGCAGCTCATAATCCCATCACAGCATTCCGACAGTCTTTGAACGCAGCTTGTGCAGGAGAAGGCATAATGAGCAACCCAGCAGGAACCGGAGAAGCAGGGGCTGGAGCGGGTCCAAGCCTGGAAGAAAGGTACCGGGTGTTGGAGGTCCAGCTGGCGCTGCAGACGGCGAGGCTGGAGGAGAGGAGGGCTCAAGATGCAGACAAAGGGAGAAAGCCACCCAGCTCGCCAGAAAGGTACCAGGATTGGTGCAGAAATTTGGGGGGGAGCCCAAAGACTATCATAGCTTTCGGACAGAAATGCAATATGCCCTCAATCTGCAGTTTGATGATTTCCTGATGAGGAATCACGAGTGGCTTTTGTGATTGGGCATCTTGAAAAGGGGGCGAGAGACTGGGTGAGACCCCTGATGGCAGCGCATAGTGACGTCCTAAAGGACACGATGAAGTTCTTTCGCGCCATGGATCTGATGTTTTCCAGCGATATTGAAAAGGGAGTGGTGCGCAGACAGTTAATGGCTTGCAAACAGGGGAGCCGATCTGTACGTGAGTACTGGACTGAGTTCACCATGCTGATACACAGATTGGGGTGGGACTTATCGGCGGAACCCATTCAAATGCTCTTTGAAGAAGGGCTTTCTTCGGCTGTGAAAGATGAACTTTCCCGGGCGCCCAGGGCGGAGTCTATGGACCAGCTGACCAAATCAGCGCTGGCCATAGGAGCGCGCCAGGAGGCGAGAGCATTGGAGAGGCGGGAAGGGAAGGGGAACGTTGGAAGGAGTTCCGCATTCCAGACATTCCAGAGCCAACTGTCCCGCCGGCAGAGCCGATGGAAATCGGAACAGCGCGCGCGCGCAGTTTCAAAGCCCAGTGAGGGGGGAAAGAAGGATGGAAAAGGCGCCCGGAAATGCTATCTCTGCCAACAGCCAGGGCACTTTGCCAGAGTCTGCCCCCAGAGGAAGGAATGGCAAGGGATGGTGGGAGCTGTGGAGGGAAGAGAGGAAAAAATACCGGAGCAACTAAAAGCCAACGCCTGGCTGCCATTGTCGGGGCACAGCAGCCAGGCCAAAGAGCAGTGAAAGTGCCCACTCCAGAACCTCCTAAACCCGCCCTAGTGATAGAAGTGACACTAGAGCTGCCAAACGGACACCCTCTAAAGATAAAGGCGCTGTTGGACTCAGGCAGCTCCTGCAATTTCATGAGCAAAGAGTTTGCAGCTGAACACCAGATACAGACGCTCCCTTTAAGCAAACCCCTGCAGGTAACCACGATCGATGGCAGGGAGCTGTTGGGAGGAGAAGTCAGCTTGCAGACCGTCCCAATGATAATGAAGGTGGCAAGGCACACCGAACTAATAGCATTTAATGTGGCCACCTTGGGAGGAGCTCCCATTATATTGGGGATGAGCTGGCTAGCATTACATGATCCGCTGGTGGGCTGGCATCAAAGAGTGGTTTCTTTTGGGTCAGCACATTGCTTAGAACATTGCAAAGAGGGAAGGGTTTTGGCAGGGGCCCAAGCCACTCTAGCAGGGACTGAAGTGACGGAGAACGTGAAGGTACCACGACAATACGCAGATCTCCGCGACGTCTTCAGCGAAAGGGAAGCTGACCAACTACCACCGCATAGAGCCTTTGACTGTCAAATCAATTTGCTCCCTGGGGCACAGCTCCCTGTGGGCAAGCTGTACGCCATGTCAGACAGAGAGATGCAGGAGCTAAGAGAGTTCATTGACAAGAACCTGAAGAGAGGGTTCATCAGAGAGTCCAGGGCGGTGGGGGCAGCCCAGTGTTTTTGTGGACAAAAAAACACGAACAAGCCGAGACTGGTGTGTGACTTCAGGGCCTTAAATGCAGTGTCAGAACCAGTGGCCTTCCCGATGCCCAGGATTGACGACATTTTGACAAGGGTGCGGAAGGGAAAGATTTTTACCAAGCTGGATCTAAGGGGGGCGTACAACCTGATACGAATAAGGAAGGGGGATGAATGGAAAACCACCATGTTCACCCCTTTAGGGGCATTTGAATACTTAGTTATGCCCTTCGGTCTACAAGCAGGCTCCGCAACATTTCAATCGTTTATGAACCACGTCCTGGGGCCGTTGCTTTACAAGAATTGTGTGGCCTTCTTAGACGACGTGTTGGTGTATTCTGAGAATGAGGAGCAGCATGTGAGAGACGTCAGAGAAGTGTTGAGCAGGCTGCAAGCCAACCAGCTGTGGGTGAAACTGGAGAAGTGTCAGTTTCATACCAAGGAGGTGGAATTCCTGGGGTATCGCCTGTCTGACAAGGGGTTGGCCATGGATCCCGACAAGGTCCAGGCGGTACTGGAATGGAAAACACCCAAAACAAGGAAGGATGTGCAGAGGTTTTTAGGGTTTGGGAACTTCTATCGTAAGTTCATCCCAAACTTTGCCCACCTGACGGCGCCCATTACGGACTGTCTCAGCAGTAAGAAGAAGTTCGTTTGGACGGAGGAGGCGGAGCAAGCATTTGAGGAACTAAAAGGGTCTTCGCCTCGGAACAACAGCTCCTGCATGTGGATTTACAAAAACCGATGAGAGTGGAAACTGACGCATCAGACAGAGCGGTTGGGGCGGTGCTTCTCCAGCCAGGGAAGGAGGAGTCAGAGTGGAGACCGTGTGCTTTTTTCGCGAAAGCTGAACAAATCCGAGAGGAACTACACGGTGTATGACCGAGAACTACTAGCCATTCATGAGGCGTTCCGGAGATGGAGGCACCTGCTAATTGGCGCACAACATAAGGTGCAAGTGTGCACTGACCACAAGAACCTAGAGTATTGGAGGACGGCACGAGTGCTCAACCAACGGCAAGTGAGATGGGCCCAGGAATTCTCCAAATTTAACTTTGAGATTTGTTACGTGCCAGGCCCAGAGAACATTAGGGCGGACGCTCTCTCACGCAAACCTGAATATTGGGAGGGGAGGGAGCACCCGAAGAGAGACATGTCATTCCAGAGGACCGCTGGGTGTGTGGGGCGGCATTGGTGGGACAAAGAGAACTGGTAGAAGAAACCGAGAATGATGAATACGCCCAGAATAAGCTCAGAGGTCTTAGGGATGAGGGAGAGGAATCAAGGGGTTTCGAGGAAAGAAATGGAGCTTTGTATTACAAAGGGGCACTGTATATCCCTGAAGGAGACTTAAGGGGAGGGTACTCAAGCAGTTGCATGACAGCCCCACGGCGGGCATTTTGGGCAACACAAAACCATGTGGTTGGTCACCAGGGAATTTTGGTGGCCTAAGGTGAGGGAGGATGTACGTGAGTATGTAAGAGGGTGCGAGCAGTGCCAGCGAGCCAAAGGGGAAAGGCGGGCGCCGGCGGGGCTATTAGAACCCTTACCAACACCAGAACGACCTTGGGAGGCAGTGTCGATAGATTTTATGACTGATCTGCCGAAGTCCAAAGGGAAAACAGCCATCATGGTGGTGGTAGACCTACTAACAAAGATGTGCCACTTTGTAGCTTGCTCGCATGCAGTCACGGCGGAAGAGACAGCGAAGTTATTTGTAGAACACATTTTTAGGTTGCACGGGGTGCCATTGAGGGTGGTCTCAGACCGAGGAAAACAATTTACTTCCAGGTTCTGGAGGAAGCTCATGAGCTTACTGCAGGTGGAGGTCAACTCTTCGACTGCCCGGCACCCTGAAACCAACGGGCAGGCGGAAAGAGCAAACGGTGTCCTCCAGCAATACCTGAGGTGTTATGTCAATGACAGAGAGAATGACTGGGTAGAAAAGTTGGCGCTGGCGGAATTTGCCTACAACAATGCCGAGAATGTGTCCACAGGGATGAGCCCCTTCTTGGCTAATTATGGGTGTCATCCCAGGGCTTTCACAGGGGGAGAAGGGGAGAGATGGAGCGTACCGGCAGCCGAGCATTTTGTAGAAGAAATGGAAGCAATCCACCGTCAGCTCCAACTCAACTTAGAAAGGGCGAAGGAAGAATACAAGAGGCAGGCAGACAAGAACCGAAGGGAAGGTGAAACCATAAGGGTTGGAGATAGGGTGTGGCTGTCAACCCGAGGGTTGCCGTTCAAAGGAGGTTGTAAGAAATTACGACCCAGGAGGTTGGGTCCCTTTGAGGTCATTCAACAGGTCAACCCAGTGGCTTTCAGGCTCCGGTTACCCAACCACATGAAACTGCACCCAGTATTTCACAGGTCGTTACTGTCACCGTACGCGGGGGGACGAGAAGGGATGGCCACTCGGGGACCGGTCATAGAAGAAAGAGAATGCAGCAGTCATGTGGCAGAAATCCTTGATGCCAGGTGGAAGGGGAATCAGGTGGAGTATTTGGTAGCGTGGGAAGGAGAACCGGAGTCAGAAAACACGTGGGTAATGGCCAAAGATATCAATGACGAGGTATTGATAGAAATGTTCCATCAAAGGTTCCCGCGGAAACCTCAGCCTGTGGAGAGGTTCCAGAGGGAATACTTTGGGACCACTGAGGAGGAGGAGGAGTTGGAAGGATTCCCAGAATCGGAAGGGGAAGGGGAGATGGACTCGGAGGAGGAGGAGTGCTTCGAGACCAGGAACCGCAACAGGTGGAGAGAAGTGTTCGAGACATCGGAAGATGAAGGAAGTTCATTTCGGGGTTTTGCCTCCTCACCGCCCGTAGAGGAGGGGGCGAGAGGGGGTGAAGGGGGCCCTGGAGGGGAGGTGGATGTCAGGGAACTGCCATCGGAAGGAAGGGAGGTGAAAGGACTCAGACAGGTTGGAAGAGATTCAGCAGCTGAAGAGGGAACCAGCAAGGGAGAGAAGCTGAACTGAGGGAGGTGAAAGGGCTCAGACAGGTTGGAAGAGACTCAGCAGCGGAAGAGGAAACCAGCAGGGGAGAGAAGCTGAACTGAGGGAAAGGGAGCTGGGGGATGGCTCAGAGATACTTCCAGCGAAAACAGTGGTGAGGTTTCCGGACCTCCTGTAGCGACACCCACTCCTCGCCGGAAACTGTCACGCAGAGAGTCCAGAAGACGTGTTTCCGTTAAGGAGCTTTTATGTTGGAAGCGATTACGAAAGCAACCACTGTCGGAATCTTCTAGTGACTAGAGGAGCCATGTCAGAGGGGCTCAGTCACAGACAGAGGTTTGTGGACTTGAACAAACTCTGAGGGAATACGATTTTACGCACAAGCAGCTCATAATCCCATCACATCTACCATCTTTGGTGACTACCTGTCTCTGTGCCTTATCCATATTTGTAGACACCACTCCATTCATATCTCCCATCAAAATCATATTATAGTCCATGTAATCAATCAGAGTCTCATGTAACTTCTTAAAGAATTCTGATTTTCCTTCGTTTGGTGCATAAATACCTAGAATCAAGAATTTCTCTCCTTGTGATTGAATTTCAATTGCTACAAATCTTCCCTGATCGTCTTTAAATAATAATTTCGGTGATAGGCTCTCCTTTGCATAAAGGACCACTCCTCTTTTTTTAACTTTGTCTGATGAAATGAATTATTGGCCCAATCTTTTATTACTCAATATCTTCCTGTGTAGCCTTATCACATGTGTTTCTTGTAAACAAATCAAGTCCAAATGTTCTTTTTTCAATAAATGAAAGACTCTTCGCCTTTTTCTGGGGAATTTAGTCCATTCACATTCCAGCTCGAGACCTGCAACGCCATCATGTAGTTACGCTGATGTTCCTCCAACTGCACCCAATGCTTGCTCTTCTTCTGTTGGTGGTAATGGTGGCACGTTCACTGGGGAGTCCAATCCAAAAGACAATATTGATATATCCAATATTCCCCTGTTTGGTGATCTTCTATCCAATGCTCTCTGCTCTAATCCTCTATCTGGTGATCTTCTGTCCAATGCTCTTGGCTCTTTTCCAGGTCCCTTCTGCAGATCTTCTTCGTATTTGTACAAAAACTTCGCTTTATCCTCTACTGATCTTATTTTTATTTTCCTACCTTTGAAACTGAAAGATAAACCTTGGGGAAACTCCCACCTAAAGATAATTTTATTCTTTCTCAGCAGGGCAACAATATCTCCGTAGTCAGGCCTAATATCCAAAAGATATTTTGGGACGTCTTTAAAAATTACCACTCTTGACTGTTGTACTTCTAGGTTCTTCTGGTAGTGCCAACCCAAAATTCTATCTCTCTTTTCTTTAGTTCGAAGGGTAATCAAGCAGTCTCTTATTGTATTCTTCTCTTTTTTCCCTCCTCTTCCAAGTCTGAAGGCCCTCACAATTCTAAACTCTTCTTGTCCCACGTCCAAATCCCAAAAGTTAGCAAATTCCTGTGTAAGAAAGTCTATCAAACTTTCCTTCTCGAATTCAGGTAGGCCTCTGATCCTCAGATTCGTCTGTTTTTCTTTAAGTTCAATCATAGCAAGCATCAACTTATGTTCATCAAGTTGCCTCTGTAGGGCTGGGACTCTCTCTCTCTCCAGTTGTGTTACTTTACATTCAACAGCAGCAGCTTTCTCCCTAGCTTCCTCCGCAGTCTGCCGTATCAGAGTGGATTCCTGTATCAATTTCTGAATAGTTTCTGTATTGGTATTCACCTTTAGTCCCAGATTGTTTATGCTTTCCGTATTTAAGTCAATTTTAATAGTTGCAGCATCCACTTTCTTGTTAAGCTGTTCCAATGAGTCATTTATCTTACCTAATGCAACCGCTAATACCTCTTCTGGCAGCATTCCTCTTGATTTTGGTTGTGCTGATATAGACACAGCAGCAGCCGGAGGAAGAGGGTCTGGTATTGAACGTCTCCTGGGTTGCTGCCTAATCTTCCCAGACCTTAATGTTTTTTCAGCAGTTGGCAGATCTGTTTTTTCCTTTCCATTTGCCACAACACTTAGAAGATTCAAGGCCAGTCCCAGAGTCTCACAGTTTTTTATCTTGCAGCTGGAAATTCCCCCAGCCCAACTCTTGTGAAACTCTTGTAAAACAACCAGTTTCAAAAGCTTCCACTAGGGGGAAACAGTTTCTATTTATGTTATTTGTATTGAACAATAATGTCCTCTTTTAAACACAGTTCAAACAATCCAAAGTTAGTTTCAGTTTTCTGTTACTATTTACTCCTTTTTAGAAACAGCCAGAGACTGTAGAAACAATGTATTTCTCTTACTTAGCTAGCTGTCAGTGAACGTTCTAAACGCTGTCAATGGACATTCCAAAAGACATCAGTCCTACTAGCAGCCCGTTTCCAGGGTCAGAGCGGCAGTATTCTGACTCTCTTCACTCTCTCCTGCAGGCATACTCAGTCCACAACTCCCCCTTCTCCTGCCCCACAGGGGGTTTAAATGTTATTTGCCATTGAAAGTTTAGTCTTTTACAAAGGGCTTTCCAAGGCTTCAGCTTACAGCCTTTTTGCTTCAATCTATTTACAAAAGGGGAAGGCGGACTTCCTGTATTGAACCTCCCCGCTTCGATACCAAATTGTACGTTTAGAAATCCGATTCTCCCGTTTCAGCTCTACTCACGCGTAATTGCTTTAGAGTCAAATTGTCCACAGGAAAAAGTCAGTGCTCTCCGGCAACAGCTATGCGGCTTCGCTCCGTGGAAGAAGCAGACGATTTGAAGCACCACACCACTCACCCCACGTCGCTCCGGAGCCCTGAAATCGGGTTTCCTGCGAGTAGGGGAGGCGCAGAAGGTGCCCGCCAAATCCCACGTTCACAGGCTTCTCCTGCCTGTGATTTTTTGCGGGTCTCCGCCTTCGCCGTGGCGGCAAGACCCGATTTCCCACGGGGCAAATTCCTCCCAGTCAGAGGAATTCCGCCATTGCCGATGGCGCCAACCCGGAAGTCGTCCTTGCAGTTTTGTGTAAGGTCTACTTAACAATGTGTCTAGAACTTTTGCGGAAATGTCAAACCTACCGCTGTCCATTTTGTAGCATTCCAGTTGCTGTGCTAAACCAACCCGTCTGTTCTCTATGCAGGAGTGACTCAGACAGGATACGGTGTCTTGCCTATTGCCGCAAAGGAAGTCAAGGTGGAGTTTAGCAAACTCAATCCATTCTACAAACAAGGTTTCCCATACACAGGAGAGGTAACATCCTATCCTTTCTGTTTAATAAAGCAGTCTTTAGGATAGATTTGCTCTTACTTTTTGAAGTAGGCACTGAAACGATACCTTTTGTGACCTAGCCCTCCTACGAAAGTTTACAGTCCATGACAGACAGACAGACAGACAGACAGACAGACAGACTACCTGGAGGAGAGCATTCATATCCCGAGATAGCTCAGCCCCTCTTCTTATCATTAGACCTTGAGGGGCAATCTCTGAATAGTGTTGTTGTGCTCTTGCCCACAGGAGTAAACAAATGCCTCAGCATATATATATATATATATATATATATATATATATATACACACATATATGCGTGCGAGAATAGTTGGCTGTAAAGAAGTTAGGTGGCTGGCTTATTTCCCTTTTATTCACGCAGATGATGGTTTCAGTCAATAAAGTGCCTGTCAAGAACAGGACTGTCTATCTCACAGTTGAAGTTGATGATGTGGAGACAACCACTTCCTATGTCACAGATGAGAATGGTGAAGTTTCCTTCTCCCTGGACACAACTAAGTGGCACGACATGGTTTCCTTAAGGGTGAGTTAAATATTTGGACATGTCTTAAGGAAGAGGTGGGGCGAAGAGATGCATTTTTCTGTGCATCCCCCCCCCACCTTCCTTAGGGTTGCTTTTCCTATAGATTATTATTATTATTATTATTATTATTATTATTATTATTATTATTTACTTCTGGAACTTAGGGCTTGTCCACACTTCTGCTTATTCTGGGATGGCAATAGGCAGGGAGTTCCAAAGTGCTACCACACTAAAAGGTTGGTGTTTTGCAAATGCAGCATGAATACTGTGTGGCACATCATCATCATACACTTTATTGCACTAGCCAAAGGCCATGGCACCATTCGCAAAGGAAACAGAAAGAAAAACAACAATAACCATAAAAACCACCCAAACATCAGGGACTGCAAATGCAATAGACCACGGTCACGTCTCCTAGAAATCATTTGTTGCATACGATAGAATAGCAGGGTGTTCTCAGATAGCATGTGCCGGCTTAAATGTCCGAATCACCTTTGCAACTGACCACTATTTTATCCAGTTCTTTTCTCCTGGTCTTCTTAGCGTGTGGCACAAGTAACTGTGCCAGTTCCACAGATCACAGCAGTTGAGTGGACATATATGAAACAGGACGATCTCAGAGGGAAACTGGATCCAAGCTTTTAACGGTTTCATTTACCAAAAGTAGAATCTTGAAGTTCGTGCTGAAATGCCTTGGGGCACCTGTGTTCTAGTCACGGTACCTGAACTTTCAGTGACAAAGCAGGGTCCAGAAGCACCACAGTGAATCTGCTCCCTCGGGCAGAGTACAACACCACTGAGGGTAGGCAACTGGCCAATTTCTTGGGCATGGGTGGATTTGTGGTATATATAGTTACTGGGACGCTGGTGGCACTGTGGTCTAAACCACCGAGCCTCTTGGGCTTGCCGAACGGAAGGTCGGCAGTTCGAATCCCCTCAATGGAGTGAGCTCCCGTTGCTCTGTCCCAGCTCCTGCCAATGTGGCAGTTCAAAAGCATGCCAGTTCAAGTAGATAAATAGGTACTGCTGCGGCAGGAAGGTAAACAGCGTTTCCGTGCACTCTGGTTTCCGTCACGGTGTCCCGTTGTGCCAGAAGCGGTTTAGTCATGCTGGCCACGTGATCTGGAAGGCTGTCTGTGGACAAACGCCTGCTCCCTCGGCCTGAAAGCCAGATGAGCGTTGCAACCCCATAGTCACCTTTGACCGTACAGGGTTCCTTTACCTTTACCTTTTACATAGTTAAAGGATTTCCGTAGGAAGCTTAGGAGCATGTAGTAGTTGCAAACAAAGCAGCATGTCTACTCCAAAACACTGGGCAGGTACAGATAATATCGAAAGCAGGATCGTGCAGAACTGCCTCAATGCCATTGCAAGCACAAATCACCACAATGAAAAGGAAGTCCTTGAAGAGATTGTTACTTTCTTCCATGATTCTTAGCTGGGAGCCACGACAGTTACAAAGATGTGAAGACTGGTTTACATGTGTAGTATATACTGTTCCCTAATGTTAGGTTCACATGCCTTGTATTGCCACCCAGTCGTCTCTTGTTGATTGTCACCCCAATCCTTGCTGTTCTCTTTTTGCTCCATAGGGTAGATACACCCTTGAGAATGTGACTGGCTTTGAGAGTCTTATGATGTCGGAATCCGAAAGTTTCATGTGGCTAAAGCCCTTCTACTCTGAGAGCAATAGTTTCCTGGAGATACAGCATGTGGAGGAAGAGCTGCCCTGTGGAAAAGACCAGGAAGTCCTGGTGGATTACATCATAGACCGGAAAGAACTGGGCCCTGATGCTGACCGTGTAGATTTCTATTATTTGGTGAGCATCTGGTCTAGGGAAAGTCGAGGACTATATTATTTGGGGGCCAGAGCCAGAATTGAATCATAGAATTGTAGAGCTGGAAGGGAACCCGAGGGTCTAATCCAACCCCTGGAATGCAGGAATCTCAGCTAAAGCATCCATGACAGATGGCCATCCAACCTCTGCTTAAAAACCTCCAAGGAAGGAGAGTCCACAACCTCTCATGGGAGTCTGTAAGTGAGGTACAGGGGCATAGTGGAGGGGGGCCGTGGCCCTGGGCACAATTTTGTGAGGGGGCGCAAACAGGCACCTATCCACAGCAGGCTCCTTCATTGGAGTTTGGCTCCAAGTAAGAAGACACTGCACTTAGGCTGCGGCGCTCAGGCTTGGCAGTAGCTCTGTCCCCAGGTCACGCTTGACCCAGGGTGTGTGTGTGGGAATGTTAATGGTGACAGGAGAGGATATATTGTTTATTTATATCCTTCCTAACTTGTGTTAGCAAGTTCCTTTACTTAGCAGAGTGCCTTCCCCTTTACAAAGCACAGCCAATAGCTGGTTGCAGGCTCGTGTGAGCCTCTGACGATTATACAGTTCAGTCTGTCTCAGATTGAATTGTAAGTTCCTGGTAAGTTCCCTTGAATCCCTCTTAAAAGAATAAAGACGCCACAATCTTATTTAAGGTCAATAAAAGAAGTTTACTTACATCGGTTCACAGTTGGATCCCTGAAGGCAGACTTAGTTACAAATATGTACATGTGGATCTACCCCATATGGGGGAATAATCCCAGTGACTGCAAGCTAGAAGTCCGGCAGTTCACACGATGAAAGGAAGATGGAAAAGAGAGAGAGAGGTGCTGCGTGACTCGTCCTTTTGTTACCTGGGCAGGTTAGGTCACACCCACCTTCTGTCACATGCAAAAGGAAGGATGTTCCAGCCAGGAGGAACAGGAAGTTTCGACTGGCTGGACCAAACATTCCCTCGCATGTCTGCTCTAGCATTACAAGGAATGTTGTACTTGACTGCTCCCAGTGGATTACATCAGCTCTCCTTGCTCATGGCAAAGTGCACCCAGCTGCAGCAGCTCCACCATCGGGTCAGGCCTTGCCTAGCGGCGGAGGGCAGGAGGAGAGTGGGCAGCAGCTTCCCTGCTCTTTTCCTCCCCTGGACTGTGGCGCACGGGAGGGTGCCCTCCATGCCTGCATGTCTCAAGCACCGTGGGCATATGCTCTGCCGCTGGTGAGGTATACCTCTCCTTCTTTCTCTCTGTTGCTCTCCAGCCCCTCTCCTTGCTGAAATTAGACTGAGGTTACGGATTGGGCTGTAGCTGGGCCACCCCCTTCTAATTCTTTGTGGACAGTGGAGAACTGTGTGAGAGAGAAAAGAATGAATGGCGTATATGGAGGAATAATGGGTACATGCAAAAGGAAAGGGGAGTGCAAAAGGAAAAAAGAGAGAGAAAAAAATGGGAATAAAATTAAATGATTAGTGAAGGCAACACAGCAGAAACGGTTGAAATGGAGAAATGAAAATGGAATAAAATAACAAGAAGACGGAAAAGGGCAGAATTGAGAATAGTATTTGTGTTGCAGTGTGTACCGGTATTTCTGTTTCTCTTGCTCATTGTGAATCTGTTTGGATCCAAACAGCAGGGACCTTCCAGTGGCCTTTGTGGCTCCTGTATGGGTTGTCCAGCCATCAGCAGAGATATAGCAGAAGCTGAGCTGAGATAGATCAGCCTCAGTGGTTCATTCCATCCGTGGCTTGTTGCGTGGAAAGCTTTGCTGAGATCTCAGATACAAGTGAAGGGCTTCACACGCAACAGTTGCTGTTGTGCCCAGTGCGCAGAAGACAGGGAACTGCAGGCTTTCCTGGTTATTGCCCCCAATTTCACGTTCTGAAGTAGCAACTGCGGTTTCTATCAAGCTATGAGCCTCCCCTAGCAAAACCCATCGCACAGTCTCTGCAGGCTGCTTCCTGTCCCACATTTCTCTCTCCCTTTCCTGTATTTCTACTGCCAAAGAGGGTGGGGAGGCTTTTCCTTTTGCCCCTGGCCTAACAAACCATCTCCCTGCAGATTGTGTCCAAAGGGAAGATTGTCTCCAGTGGACAGAAGACCGTTCCTGTTAGCCAGGATGAGAGTAAGTGAGAGATCCATCGGAGAAGCACCACACTTGGCCAAGCTGATAATGTTTGGTGGGCCTAATCTGTGTAGTCTGGTGTGTCTTTCAAGAATGAGGAGATGACCACGAACTTTAGTAGCACCCAGGACATGGTTTGAGAGTGTTGAACCAATTGGAGACACCACTGTGCCTGGTGAACCATCACCAAGCAATCCTAGCACAGTCACGTTTGACTTCAAAAGAGGAAACTTTTCAAATGTATTAACCACTCAGCTTACATTACGCAGCTGTCTGTCTCCCCATCTGGTTCAACACCTCAGATCAGGCCCAGTCTGAACTGGGGCCTTCCACGACTCCACGTTTGATTCAGATGTGAAACCATAATTAAACATGCAGTTACCACAAGTGGGAGACTCTCACCTGCACCATCTGCTTCCCCTGCCAACCGCGTGGTTCATGAAGGTTGCATGCAACTAATTTTTACCCACTGAAATGAATGGACCTAAGTTAGTCATAGCCCTTGATTGTGGTGGGTGTACTCTGAGTAAAAGTGAATTGAATACAACCCTCAGGGTTTAAAGCCCAGATTCAACAGATGATTGCTTGGCTACCCTCCTCCCCTGCTTTTGACAGCCCCAACATCCAGAATTTGTCAGGAGTCAATGCACATCCGATGTCTCTCTCTCTCTCTCTCACACACACACACATATCCTGGACACAACTTTCTGACGCTGAGCAGATTTAAACCTCATAAATGACTCCTGAGTTTTTTTTCACTTGGCAAAGAATCTCATTCTAAAGTGCTTGTTGCCATACGATTCACTGTCAGTGTCTTCCAAGTAAGGCGAATTACCATAGCGGACTGATAGATGGAAATAGGATTTTGTTGTTTTTTTAAAAAGAACTTGCTGTGTAGTACAGAATGGAATTTGTTATTAGCAATAAATCAGTTATTAGGTTGAAGACATGAGGGTTGGAATACTCCTGCAATGCACAGGGGGGCTGGCTGCATTTGGGGTGGGTCTTCTTGATTTTCTTTGCTTTACCACCATCTAGCAGAAGTGAGATGCACAGGGATGTTTTTTTTTCATGTTGTAAGCCATGAATGCTCTCTCTCTCTCTCTCTTTCTCTCTCTCTCTCTCTCTCTCTCCTTTCCCCATTCTCCCTTTCCCCTGACCCAGCTCTGAAAGGCAACTTCTCCCTCATCTTGTCTACGAGCTCTGACCTGGCACCCACAGTGAGGCTTCTTCTGTACACTGTGTTTCTGGATGGCGAGGTGGTGGCTGACGTGGATCAGTTTGAGATACAGAAGTGCTTCAAACATAAGGTGGGTAAGGAAGCAAGTGGGGCAGGGTGAGGCCTTGCATCCTGCAAATCTTCAGATCCTTTTTGCTGTTCACAATACTCGCTCTTTCTCCACCATCCTCCATGACATTCTTGCCCTGGTGCTGCCTGTTATCCACTCTCGTCACCGCAGATTTCCTAACTGACCATTCCTGTTTTGTTCGCATCCTTCCACAGGTGAATTTGGACTTCTCTGCGGCGGAGGAGCTTCCAGGATCAAAAGTCAGTCTGCAAATCGAGGCTGCTCCTGGTGCTCTGTGCTCTCTCCGTGCTGTTGATAAGAGTGTCCTCCTGATGGAAGATGATACGCTGACACCAAAGAAAGTAAGAATGCCCATCCTTCTCAGTTATTATTAGTTTATTAAAGGTAAAGGTACCCCTGCCCGTACGGGCCAGTCGTGTCCGACTCTAGGGTTGTGCGCCCATCTCACGTTAAGAGGCCGGGGGCCAGCGCTGTCCGGAGACACTTCCGGGTCACGTGGCCAGCGTGACGAAGCTGCTCTGGCGAGCCAGCACCAGCGCAGCACACGGAAACGCCATTTACCTTCCCGCTATAAAGCGGTACCTATTTATCTACTTGCACTTAAGGTTGCTTTCGAACTGCTAGGTGGGCAGGAGCTGGGACCGAAAGACGGGAGCTCACCCTGCCGCGGGGATTCGAACCGCCGACCATGCGATTGGCAAGCCCTAGGCACTGAGGTTTTACCCACAGCGCCACCCGTGTCCCTCCTAATAATTAGTTTATTATTCTTTATTAAATTTGTCAGTCACATTATCTTGCTCAGGGCAACCCAAAGCGACTCACGACCAAACAAACAGACAGCAAACTCCACATAGATACATTGGGGCTGCTTAATTAGATTAGTGTTCCTTCCCTGTGCCCTATTCTTTTCTTTTCATTTTCAGGCTGATGCATAGGAGCCAACTCCTAGGGGCCGGGCATCTTTGCCCAATAAAATTTTCGCCCAATAATTTTTTTGAGGGGGCCAGCCTATTGGGATACTGCCAGGGAGACGGAGCCATCAGGCAGGCCTCCACGTCGTCTCTGGACGATCACCGGTCTCCCGTGGAACAGTATCAGTCAATTAGCGACACGAGCCTCAGAGACATTCCAAGACTCGTGCACACCCTTTTCAGCAGTCTCCACAACGGAAGATTCAGACAGGAGAGCATATTTACAGCTTTATTCAACGTAGATCAGAACAAAGGAAAAACATGACTGCCTGCCTCCGTGTTCAGGAAAACAGAAGGAACAAAAGCTGTATACAAAACGGAAACTCCCAGTGAGCAGGAAGTAAAGAGGCATGTGACACACCACAATCATCCCTGACCGACCCCCCAGTTGATGGGCATTGCCATTCAAATGGTGTGTGTGTGCGCACCATGTCATGTGATCAATTCTGTGGGGCAGGGCTTCCCATCCCCTCCTGCCCCCAATATTTTATTCAAGTTAGCACTCCTGGACTGACAGGTGGTTGGTTCCATTATTTAGCTTCTGCCTTTTCCCTTCCATGTCATGAGCTGCAGCAGAGGCCTTGGTTATGAATCCCAGCAGCCCTTCTGCCTTTGTAGCATTTTAGCAACCCTTCCTTCCATCCCTCCTCAATTCCTCACCACACCCCATCTTTCCATGCTTCCGTTATCTTTAAGGCCTTCCTTGATACAGTGGTACCTCTGGTTAAGAATTTAATTCGTTCCGGAGGTTTGTTCTTAACCTGAAACTGTTCTTAACGTGAGGTACCACTTTAGCTAATGGGGCCTCCTGCCGTCGCGCAATTTCTCTTCTCATCCTGAGGTAAAGTTCTTAACCTGAGGTACTACTTCTGGGTTAGTGGAGTCTGTAACCTGAAGCGTTTGTAACCCGAAGCGTTTGTAACCCGAGGTACCACTGTACAGTCCATGCTAAGAACCTCCCATTTTTTTTTTATAGTATTACCCATGATATACTATGGTGTGTAGCATGACAGCATTGTCAGGGACTGGGCAGAGGAAGAATGGTGCAGACCGCCTCCCCAGCCTGACTCTTCTGCAAGCCCTGCGGAAAGATGTCAAGTCCCGCAGGGCTCTAGTCTCTTGTGACAGAGCGTTCCACCAAGTCAGGGCCAGTACTGAAAAGGCCCTGGTCCTAGCTGAGACCAATCTAACCACCTTGTGACTTGGGACCTCCAAAATGTTGTCATTTGTGGACCTTAAGGTCCTCCGCGGGGCACACCAGGAGAGGTGGTCCCGTAGGTACGTGGGTCCTAGGCCTCATAGGGCTTTAAAGGTCAAAATCAGGGCTTTGAGGGAGATCACAGCTCAGAGGCAGATGAGGGGGAAAGCTGGGAAATAATGGAAGAGGAGGAAGAAGAAGCACTAGAGGGGCAACAGCTGACGGACTCAGTGTCTTTAGAAAGCATAGCATTCCAGACCCCCTCTCTCCCAGAACATGACGGGCCTTGAAAGTAGGAGAGCAGAGGGCATGTCCCAGCACCGTAGAGATGACTCGTGAGGAAGTGGGAGGGGGTGGAGATTCACTTGGAGCAACGCCATTATTCCAAGAGGTCACATTCCCAAGCCACTCTCTGTGAATATTGAATAAAAGCAGATGGTAAGGACATTCCCTTGTCTTGTCCAATCCTGGCAACCTGCCGTGGGGGGTTGGTTCCTCTGCTGCCTGACAAGCACATCATTAAGAAGGGAGACACAGTGTTGTATTCCATGCAGTGCAGTGCCTGAGCGGCGCAATTGCATTTACAAATGAAATACTGATTCACAGTGGCGTAGCGTGGGTTAGCAGCTGCCAGGGCCGTGCAGAGGTGGGTGGAGGGTGGGAGGGAAACGGAAACGGACGGAGTACATATGCACATTTAACTGCTTAAAGCATCCGCATCACCCAGGAGATCGCAGCCATAGAATCGCTTTGTTGTCTGGAGACGTAACTTCCTAGTTTGCATGGAGAAGCCATTTGCAGTGGAGCCCAGTGACGAAAGCACGTGGCTGTATTGATGCAGCTCTCTGTGTTGGAATTTTGCACCCGAAACAAATTTTGCACCCAGGGCAACTGCCTCTGTGGCCTCCCTTTTGTCAGCAGACAAAAAGGGGCTTCAGTCTGGCTTGGGGCTCAACCAGTATGATTTGGCTTTATCAACACTGAATACAGTGGTACCTCGGGTTAAGTACTTAATTCGTTCCGGAACCTGAAACTGTTCTTAACCTGAAGCACCACTTTAGCTAATGGGGCCTCCCGCTGCTGCCACGCCGCCGGAGCCCGATTTCTGTTCTCATCCTGAAGCAAAGTTCTTAACCTGAAGCACTATTTCTGGGTTAGCGGAGTCTGTAACCTGAAGCGTATGTAACCTGAGGTGTATGTAACCTGAAGTGTATGTAACCTGAGGTACCACTGTATAGTTACGTGTTTCCTCCCTTCCAACTCTCTGCTTTCAGGTGTTCGGTCATTTTAGTTACGATTACTTGTATTTAACTTCTGGAAGAGGATTTCCCTATCGCTTGGAAGACTTTGAGCCATATCCTTGCCTGCCTCCTCTGGCTCCAAGCCAAAAGCAAAAGAGGGCCCTGAAGGTAGCCCATTGGGCTCAGAGTGAGGCCGATGTTTTTAGCCTGTTCAAGGTGAGTAGAATTTGCCCCCGAGTTTAGCTTCTCCCAAAGGTGCCTTGCTCATTTCCATGAGATGCACCCTACTGACCCTCCCAGTGCCCCTATTTTCCAGGGATGGACCCAGATTTAAAGAAACCACGTCTGATGGGTGGCCTTGACTCCTCTCTCTCATCCTCTCACCCCTCTGCCCATTGAAATCTGCTCTAGGCAAATAGGCAGTACTTCCTTCCCCCACGAGGGAGAATGGGAGAACCCCAGCAGAAGCAGGGGCGGTATCATGACTGGGAGGGAGGTGGAACTGGTGCCAGACTGGACCACCTCCTAATGCTGGGTCTTTCACACCTTACTTTTCCTTTTTTTTTGTATCATTTTTTATTAGCTTTGCAATGCAAATTTACATTCAAACACAAAATAAAATCATAAATTGTAGAATTTTTCTGAATTCACGGACTTCCATTCTCTCCTCTCTGGAGTCCTCTTATTAACATTTTCACTGCATATCATATCTTCCTCCAGATTTTCATAATACTCTATTTAAATCCATAGTTCTTCTCACATTACAAGTGTTATTTCAACCCTGCTAATGTTTTTAATTGTTTACATTGTGCTCTCAAATATATTACAAACTTTCCCCAGTCTTTATTGAAGTTTTTATCGTCCTGGTTCCTGACTTTTCCAGTGATTTTGGCCATCTCTGCATAGTCCATCAGCTTTGTTGTCCAGTCTTCTTCTGTAGGTATTTTGACTTCTTTCCATCTTTGGCCTAGGACTATCCAGGCTGCTGTCGTTGCATACATAAAAAGTCTTTTGTACTCCCTTGGGTTTCTCTGCACCTACTGTTCCCAATAAAAAGGCTTCTGTTTTTTTTAATGAAGGTTATCTTAAACATCTTTTTCAACTTATTATATATTATTTACCAATATGCTTTTATCTCCTTACAAGTCCACCACATATGATAAAAGGTGCCCTCTTTTTCTTTGCACTTCCAACACATATTTGAAGCACAGTGGTACCTCGGGTTAAGAACTTGTTCTGGAGGTCTGTTCTTAACCTGAAACTGTTCTTAACCTGAGGTACCACTTTAGCTAATGGGGCCTCCCACTGTTGCGGTGCCGCCGGAGCACAATTTCTGTTCTCATCCTGAAGCAAAGTTCATAACCCAAGGTACTATTTCTGGGTTAGTGGAGTCTGTAACCTGAAGTGTCTGTAACCTGAAGTGGTCTGTATTCTTATACATCTTTGCTAATTTACTGGGAGTCAAATACTCACACCTCACTTTTCCACTCTCCTGGTTTCCCACAGCTTATGCGAATGAAAATTTTCACCAACATGCAAGTTAAAAAGCCTGTTTCCTGTGACCTGCCAGTAACAAGACGTTTAAAAAGTGGCTCTAAAACAGGTGAGAATCACAGTCATTTGCTTGTTTCGCTGCTGGAAAGTCCCCAAGTAGAGAAATCAGTTTTTGTTGTTTCTGCCTTTCAAGGCTTTTATTTCCACTGATTCCTGCTGGATCTCCCTCTCGACATCCCATCCCTTGAGTCAATGGTTTCGTTGCTGGGTGCAGTGCATCGCTGTATCACTGCCATCATAATCTCTCTCAGAAATTTGGCCACACTGCTGCGGATTCATCTTTACTGATGGACTTGAGATCTTTTTCTCCTATCTCCAGGCCTGCTCACAAGTGTTCAGCATGAGAATGTGATTTCCGAGAAGCCTCAGGCTGTTGATTCTACAGAAAGCAAGAAGGAAGAGAAAGCTAAACCCAGGACACACTTTCCAGAGACCTGGGTCTGGGATTTAGTATCAGTGAAGTAAGTGAACCGTGCTAGGGAAAGACGATAACCGCTGAGATGATGCCATCTACCTGGGATATCAGTAGCGGGGGTGTGGGGGTGTGGGGTGAACCCTTTGAGATCCAAGCTCTTCTTCAATGTAAGGATCAGACAGAATTATTTTCCACAGATCCCTGTCTGGACTAGCCTGGGCTTTCTCATAGCCTGGAGTCTGGTTTTCCCTTGGAAATGTAACTTCAGCCTTCAGAAAACCGATCCATAGTTTTGTTGTCACTGAGGGAGTGACCTCTCTTCCTGTTCTTCAGTGAGGAGGGGAAGGCAACTCACTCGGTCACTGCTCCGGACACGATCACGGAGTGGAACGCTGATGCCTTCTGTGTGGCTGACATTGGCTTCGGACTCTCCCAACAAGCCAAGTTCCGGGTCTTCAAGCCGTTTTTTGTGGATCTGAGCCTGCCGCATTCTGTGGTCCGTGGGGAGACCTTGCTGCTAAAGTCCACTGTCTTCAATTACATGAAGGAATGTATCCAGGTTAGTGACCATTGAGAACAAGCAAACAAGCTTCCCTTATATGTGTATCCAGAAAGAAAGGGATGGGGGGAACCCCACAAGATAGAGATGGAGGCTGGGGGGCTGGACTTCACCAGGGCCTTGCCCTTCCTACACCTGCACTCACCTGTCTCTCCCAAGGGACAAGTCAGAATTTTTCCCTCCTCCCCCCACCACTCTGCATTCAGTGTTGAGGGGACAGCTTGCATTTCTTGCTGTGGGTGAGGAAACAGAAGCTCCACTTTGGATGTGCCACAGAAGTGTGGACAACAGGAAGCGCAAGGCAGCCCCATCCCCTTCATGGCAGAAGAGGTCCATAGAGCACATTCCCTCCTGGGAACCTGCAGTTTTCCTCCCACAGCAACCCCTGAGTGTGCTTTAAATGTGTGGTGTGTGCACAGCCCCATATGCAACACAGCCTTATTGCTGCAAGAGGCCAGAAGAGGCCAGAAAGCCACCCAGTCTGATCTGCTGCCAAGGCCTAGGGATGCCCATCTGCTGCCCCCTTCCTCTTCCCCACAGCCGCAATCCAGGCCACCAGCTGAAGAGCTTCATGAAGGGCTCACAGAACAACAGCCATGAGGGGTTTGTGTGAGGAAGCCAAGCCACCCACTCGAATCCCAAAGGTTTTTGATTAGAGGCCTTCCTGTAAACTTTGTTGAGTGAATAAATCTCGCCAGTCTGATCTGGGGTGGCATTCCTCATAGATGCTAATATGGTGCTCCAAAAGCACGAGGAGACCCCACTCACCGAGGTCTTACTGGGCGCAGTCTACGCCCTACTCAACTTCCCAATGTGGGGCACCCCTAGGCATGGGGTCTGGCTCTTCCTTCTGGCATAGGCCCATCTCCTGTGCCTCTTCTCTGAATGTTTGCCCCTTGCTTTGGACTCACTGCGCTGCCTGCTTCACGAGGGTCATTTTGCTGCATCTCCCAGGTGAGAGTGAAGCTGCTGGAGTCGCAGGAGGTGGACGTGAAGCCATGCCCGGCCTGCCAGTTCAGCACCTGCCTCTGTGCTGAGGAGGCCCACACCTTCTCCTGGAACGTGACGGCGACTCAGCTGGGTGAGGTTGAGGCGCCTGAGTGGGTGGGAGGAGACTTGTGGGGTTGAGGCTGCCAAGGGTCCCTCTCTTTCTTCCCCAAAGACCTTGTCATCTGAGGACCCTTGGCAGAACCAACGGATTCTTCTGTTTGGAAGCCAACTGGGCATTAAGTGGAATATGGAAAGTAATAACAATGCCCCCTGCTGCATGTGCTATGGGTTTGTTTCCTCCCCATCCCAGATGGTGTCCCTCCCCAATTTCTGCTAATGGCAGCTGTGCATCAGGGCAGATTTGGGGACTGGGCTACAAAGGAGAGGTTGGGGGTCCATCTCCATTCAAGAACCCCCTATGCTCCGACCTCTGTCCCTTACATCCTTCTCCAGACTGAAGGCATGGTGGACATGTTGGCGGATGTGGGGCTGGACTGGGGCTCTGGCCTCCAAGCAGCCTCTTCCCCTCCCTGAGCTCCTGGCACTCATCATGGGTCTGTGCCAATTTTGCCTTCCTCTAGGGCACGTCAATCTCTCGATCACCGCCGAGGCAGAGGAGACGCATGAGCTGTGTGGCAATAAGATCTCCACCACACCTGCGCGAGGCCGGTCAGACACAGTGGTCAAATCCCTGCTGGTCAAGGTCAGTGTCTATGTGGCCTTCAGCCCCTGATGTCCAACTTTGGCTCATAGCTATCAAGTGCCAGCAACTGATTCAGAACTCTGGGTCTCCCCTAAACAGGTGTTGTTGTTTTTTTTAGGGGGGGGGGAGAATTGTATTCATTGGGTGCTGGGCAGGAGAGGCCCTTTGGATTTTTGCAGCGCCTCCCTGTTTCCAGGTCTAAGGCGATGTCAGCCAGGGGCTGTGATCAGTTGGAAGGCCTGGCAATTGCAAGAGCTCTTACACAGAGCAGGGGAAAGGCAGAGAAGGTAGAAGGAGAGAGCAGCCCCACTCACCATCCCATCCTCTTTTCCTCCCACAGCCAGAAGGCGTCCTTGAAGAAGAGACCCACAATGCATTCCTCTGCTCTTCAGGTGTGCTTAGGCTGCATCCCTTGCTCAGGGCAGCTTGGCTTGTGATGGGGCCCCAGAGAACACAAGCTGGAGAGAAGATGAAGTGTTGCTCTGCTTGTCATTGGGCTGGAGACGTGTCTCTTCTCTAGGGCAGTAGCGGGATGTAAAAGAGACCAAAGACACACACTCTGTCTCTCTGCTTGCCAAGGGGAGTAGGGATGGGATGGAGAGGTGGTGGAATGACAGCTGAGAGAACACAGTAGCTAAAAACAGACTACTGAGCTAGCAAGCTCCTAGTCCATTCTTCACTGTGTGCAAGTCCAATTGCAGATTATGACCACTTGGTTAGTGTTTTCAACTGCATTAATTCCTGTTCTTCATCTCCTTTCAGGGGACCCAGTTCACGATGAGGTTTCCCTAAAGCTGCCTGAAACTGTTGTGGAGGGCTCTGGCCGAGCTACCGTCTCCTGCATTGGTGAGGAAATTTGCCCCCACATTTCTTCCCCATCTCTGGCCATATGAGAGATCTGGAGAGGAGGAGACTTTTCTTTCCACTCCATCATAATGAAAGTTACCCATGTGCAATTCTGGCTGCCATTGATTCCTTTCCTCATATGGTCCACGGAGCAGGAGAAAACGAGCTTGCTCCATCTTCCATGTGACAGCTCTTTAAGGATTTGAAGATGGCCACCAGACCTCCTCTCAGTCTTCTCTTATCCAGGCTAAACATACCCAACTCCTGCAGCCTTTCCTCAAAAGACTTGGTTTCCAGATGATGGTGGTGGTGGTGGTAATGGTAATGATAACAATCTTCTCAACATCTAGGGGACATTATGGGCACATCAATACAACATATAGACCTTCTGATTCAGCGACCCCTGGGCTGCGGTGAGCAGAACTTGATGATGTTTGTTCCTAACATTCACATACTCCGGTACTTGGAGAAGACCAGCCTGGCAACCCCCACCTTCAAAGAGGACGTAATAAAGCACATACAGAGTGGTGAGTAGGTCCTCTTTTCTCCTCAGAATGTGGCTTAAGGCAGGTGTTCATTGGCAAGAACTGTGCGAATAGTAAAAGTCTGGAAGATCACTGGCCGAATGAGAAGGGAAGTTGAGGAGACTGTTGTGAATTTGTTCATGCAAATGGAAGGTGCTCTTGAGAAGACGTTGGAAGCCTTGGAGAAAGGAATTTCCATTTTATCTGTAGGATGTATTCATGATTGTTCTTCATAGATCAAAAAGTGTTTGCTGGGAGTGGAGATTTCATGGCGAATTTGCAATCACAATCCATTGTGTTTTTTGTGGGTCTTTTCCCCATTTGATAGATACTGACGTAGTCCTATAATTACCCCAGCCCACAACCACTTTATCCCTTCGTCCACTTTTTGGGTATTAATATTTTATTGAAGGAATTTCAATTATAAAGAGGTAAAGTGATACAGAAAAAAGAAAAACAAGGAAAGGGGAAAAGGGGGAAATGATTCAAAGTTTTATGAGCAGGAAACAAATAATGATACCTCTATTTAGTTGAATAGCATCATGTGCATGTCCAGCATGGGATTATCTTCCTACTAAATTAAAATAACTCTAAACAGACCTAAAATCAGAGATCTCTCTCTCCCCACAGCCTCCATTACAGCCTGGAGCTGTTTTCTCTTTATGAGCTCTATGTAGTATAAACAGCCAAATATAACCAGTCAAATCTTTCACTGCAAATGCCTCATAGACACTTAATACAAGGTTTGCCCTAACAAAACCTTGCCTGTGCGGCGCATGATGTCTTTTCGGCACCGGAAGAACACTTCTTTCTATTTTGTTTTCCCAGGCCTATGTAACTGGTTTATGATCATCTTCCCACTGCTGAAGTCCTACATTGTTTTCTGTGCTGATTGTTGTTTGGTTTTAACTTCGTCCGCCACTTAGTCAGGTGGTTTTTAAAAAACTGTAAATCCCTTAAATATATAAGCGGGTAAAATCAGGGTCCCTCCTAGCATTGCCAGTGCTACTTTGTTCTTCTCTTCTGCCAGGGTATCAACGCCAGCTGCTCTACAAGCGCGATAACGGCTCTTACAGTGCCTTTGGGATGCATGATGCTGAGGGGAATACTTGGTGAGTTAGCAGCAGAGCTAGAACCAGCCGGCCCAAGCTGTCAGGGTGGCCATTCAGGCTGAGCAATTTGCTGTCATGAGCAATTGGAGAAGGAGGTGATACAGGCAACCCTGCAGCCTGCAATCTGCCAGCCCTTGTTCCCAGTTAGCACCTTTTTTGGTCTCAGGGTGATGTTGCTTGTTAAAGAGGCAGAAGCCTACCATCAATCTGTGGGTGGGTGGGTGGTGGTCTTGGGTGTCCCCTAAGAGGCAAAATCAAACTACTACTACTTCTGGAATCAGGTGGAATGGGAATTAAAATTGAGGTTTAGTGTAGCATTTTATTGTGTAGCATTGCCTAACCTTATGACCAACATGTTTCTTCTTCTTCTTCTTCTTCTTCTCTTCTTCTTCTATTATTATTATTATTATTATTATTATTATTAATTCCATCTCTATACCACTTTAAATTTTAAAGAAAAAATCTCCAAACGCTCCATTAACACATGAAACAAAACAATCCAGAATAAAACAATTTAAAGCTTCAAGGAAACTATTTCCTTCTCTAAGTGACATTTTGCTTTCCCCACATTGATTTACCTATTTAATTTAAGTCAGTGCCATGCTGGAAGGAAGTCCCCATGCAACATCAGTTAGTAGTTTTCTCCTTACGGCTTCTGTCACTTTTGTTGTTTTCTGTTCAGTGCTGCAGGAGAAAAGCTGAGATGAAAAATAGTGGGGCATGATCCCTTGTAGTTCAGAAGCTGAGTTGCCCCTCATTTTTAAATTTATTCTTGCTTCAATCCTAAAGGCTGACGGCTGCTGTGGTTAAGGGTTTTGGCCATGCCAAGACTTATGTCTATGTTGATGAGAAGCACATTCAGGATGCTGTGCGCTGGTTGGGGCAGCACCAACTTCCCAGTGGCTGCTTTGAAAGTGTGGGAAGAGTCTTCAACAATGCCATAAAGGTACCTTCACTGAGCATTCATTTGCTTGCGGGGAGGTTATACAACATGAGATCAAGCAATTGCTATCCCACACTTCCCAATGTATTTTCCTGTTACTTTCCTGATCACGAAAGGTCCAGTTTGGGGAGAGGTGGGGAGCAGCTTTGCTGTCTCGAAACTAATTCAATCGCACAACTTCCATTTTTCTGGTATGTCATGGAATCCCACTCAAAACAGTGGGAGTCTGGAAGCGCCTTGACTTTTCTCTTGTGTTTCCCCTGACATCCTTAGGGTGGCGTGGATGATGAGATTTCACTAACAGCTTACGTTGCTGCCTCACTGATGGAGCTCAACATGAAGGAGAATGTAAGTCCTTCCTTAGGATTTCCACAAGTTTTTGTGAGCTCCCCATCAATCCTTGTACAACTCAAAGCTCAGGGCAGAACTACCAGCTCAGTATTTGCACTATTTCTAAGGCTTTGTTAGCATTTGGGTCCATGCCCCATATCGCTACCCCATGAAGCATCTGGGAAACCACTTTACTGGCAAAGATTTTCAACACAGGTTCTAGTAACTGGCCACCCAGCCTGTCTGGTGTGCCTTCAGCTTGTCTGGATGGAGAGACATGCCTCAAACTGTAGTCATGATGCCTCTTGATGCTTCTGTAGAAGCCTGGCTTTGCATGCCTCAAATGTAGCCATACAAGCTCCATTGCTCTGTCCAGTTTTTGCCTCTGGCCCTGAACACTACTGGCAGGTTGTCCGTGAGGGAATGCAGCCCTCAAGTTGGGGGGGGGGGAAACGTCTCTGACCCCAGTTTGTAGGATGGTGGTACTGGTAGATAATGGGCACAAAATGACCACATCTGCAACAGATGTGCCATAAAATGCTACTCTTTGCTGAGTCATTGGTATGTGCTTATGTTCAGCTTGTGTCCAGATGCTGGAAGGGAATTCCTTGTAGCCTGGAAGTCTCTGCAAAAGAGGGCAGGAGTACATGATCTCCACCTTCTGTCCATCTAAGAAACACCAGGGAGATGTCTGACCTGATAATTATACAGCAGTACCTCAGTTTTTGGACATCTCCGTTGCCGAACTTTTCTGTTTTCGAACGCTGAAAACCCAGAAGTAAATGCTTCCATTTTCGAACGCGCCTCAGAGGTTGAATGGCTTCCACTGTGTGTATCTGTTGTTTCCCCACAATTTTCTCTATTGATTTGGCAGACTGCCCTTTGCGCCTCAGTTTTTGAACGTTTCAGAAGTCGAACGGTCTTCCGGAATGGATTACGTTTGAAAACCGAGGTTCCACTGTACAATGGTACCTCGGGTTAAGTACTTAATTCGTTCTGGAGGTCTGTTCTTAATCTGAAACTGTTCTTAACCTGAAGCACCACTTTAGCTAATGGGGCCTCCTGCTGCCACCGCGCCGCCGAAGCACAATTTCTGTTCTCATCCTGAAGCAAAGTTCTTAACCTGAGGTACTATTTCTGGATTAGTGGAGTCTGTAACCTGAAGCATATGTAACCTGAAGCGTACGTAACCCGAGGTACCACTGTATATCCTTCCACTATAGCTCTCATGGCCTTCCCTGTGGATTCCTGGGGAACTATACTTTGGTGAGAAGACCCCCAGGACCTCCTAAGAGAAGTGCAGTTCTCCCACTCAGCAACCTAACAGAGTCTTTTTAAAATTGTGTTAAAGCGTACAATGGTAGATGATGCCTTGGGCTGCCTGAAGAGGAACTTGAGTTCTGTGGACGATGCCTACCCCAAGGCCTTGCTGGCTTACGTCTTCACATTGTCTGGGGACACAGAGATACGGCAGAACCTACTGAAAGACTTGCGCGAAGGGGCTGACAAAACAGGTAGGAGGGGTTCATTCAGAGCAAAGGAAGGCTATGTGCCCATTAACTGACCTAAAATGCAGCAAGGTTGTGCTCTTTCTCACCATGGACAGGATTTGATCTTGGTGGGGAACTAGCAGGGGGAGTGCAGTGCATGCAGAGAAGACAGGCGTGTGTACACAGCCCTTGTTCCAGAGACGGCTGTTTTGCCACATCTGGAGTAGCAACTTTTTCTGCTTAGGCTATTGGGGTAAATTCTGAGTTCCCCAGTAGTTTCTATTATTTCTAAACAAACGTGTCAGTTCAGGTAGTCCTTTGGTGACCCAGAATGAATTATCCACAATTACTGTGATGATAGAAGCATTTCAGAGTGCTTTCATATGTTTCCAACTCTTCGTCTTGTTTATCTGTAAGGGCAGTCTTCTGAGACCTACCACTATTATTCCCATTTTACAGATAGCGATGTAAGCCATAATAATAATAATAATAATAATAATAATAATAATAATAATATATAGAGAACAACCACTCTGGGCGGCTTCCAAGAAATATTAAAATACTGTAATATATCAAACATTAAAAGCCTCCCTAAACAGGGCTGCCTTCAGATGTCTTCTAAAAGTCTGGTAGTTGTTGTTCTCTTTGACATCTGGTGGGAGCACTTTCCACAGGGAGGGCGCCACTACCGAGAAGGCCCTCTGCCTGGTTCCCTGTAACTTGGCTTCTCGCAGTGAGGGAACTGCCAGAAGGCCCTCGGTGCTGGACCTCAGTGTCCGGGTAGAACGATGGGGATGGAGACGCTCCTTCAGATATACTGGATCAAGGCTGTTTAGGGCTTTAAAGGCCAGCACCAACACTTTGAATTGTGCTCGGAAACGTACTGGGAGCCAATGTAGGTCTTTCAAGACCGGTGTTATATGGTCTCGGCGGCCGCTCCCAGTCACCAGTCTAGCTGCCACATTCTGGATTAGTTGTAGTTTCCGGGTCACCTTCAAAGGTAGCCCCACGTAGAGCGCATTGCAGTAGTCCAAGCGGGAGATAACCAGAGCATGCACCACTCTTGCGAGGCAGTCCGCAGGCAGGTAGGGTCTCAGTAAACAGCTGCCCTGGACACAGATTTGACCTGTGCCTCCATGGACAGCTGTGAGTCCAAAATGACTCCCAGGCTGCACACCTGGTCCTTCAGGGGCACTGTTACCCCATTCAGGACCAGGGAATCCTCCACACCTGCCCGCCTCCTGTCCCCCCAGAACAGTACTTCTGTCTTATCAGGATTCAACTTCAATCTGTTAGCCGCCATCCACCCTCCAACCGCCTCCAGACACTCACACAGGACCTTCACCGCCTTCACTGGTTCTGATTTAAAAGAGAGGTAGAGCTGGGTATCATCCGCATACTGATGAACACCCAGCCCAACCCCCCTGATGATCTCTCCCAGCGGCTGCATGTAGATGTTAAAAAGCATGGGGGAGAGGACAGAACCCTGAGGCACCCCACAAGTGAGAGCCCAGGGGTCTGAACACTCATCCCCCACCACCACTTTCTGAACACGGCCCAGAAGGAAGGAGCGGAACCACTGTATGACAGTGCCCCCAGCTCCCAGCCCTTCAAGACGGTCCAGAAGGATGTTATGGTTGATGGTATCAAACGCCGCTGACAGATCCAGCAGAACTAGGAAACAGCTCTCAACTTTGTCCCTAGCCTGCCGGAGATCATCAACCAGTGCGACCAAGGCAGTTTCAGTCCCATGATGAGGCCTGAATCCCGACTGGAAGGGATCCAAATGGCGTGCCTGGAGTTGTTCAGCAACCACTCGCTCAATCACCTTGCCCAAGAATGGAAGATTTGAGACTGGGCGATAGTTGGCCATCGTGGCCGCATCTAAAGATGGTTTTTTAAGAAGCGGTTTAATAACCGCCTCTTTCAGCGGGTCTGGGAAGGCTCCCTCATGGAGGGAAGCATTCACCACCCCACGAAGCCCATCGCCCAGCCCTTCCCGGCTAGCTTTTATAAGCCAGGATGGGCAAGTATCAAGGAGACAGGTGGTTGGTTTCACTCGTCCAAGCAGCCTGTCCACATCCTCGGAGGTAACAGATTGGAATTGATCCCACACAACTTGACTAGACAGGACTCTAGCACTCTCCCGCCCCTGCCCTGCTCCCACGGTGGAGTCTACCTCTTTCCGAATCTGAGCAACTTTATCTGCAAAAAACTTTGCAAAATCATTGCAGGAGATCATGTGGCCCATACTTGGCCCCGATGGAGCAGGTGGTTCCGCTAAATTGCGAACCACCTGAAAAAGTCTCCTGCTGCTGTTTTCTGCAGATGCAATAGAGGCAGTGAAGAAAGTCTTCTTCGCTATCGCTACCGCCACTTGGTAGGCTTGACATTGGGCCCTAACCCGTGTCCGGTCAGCTTCAGAATGAGTTTTCCACCACCGGCGCTCTAGCCGTCTCAACGATTGTTTCATTGCCCTCAGATCCGTGGAGAACCACGGGGCTGTCCGGGCTCCATGCAAACGGAGAGGGCGCTTCGGAGCCAAACAGTCAATAGCCCTGGTTAACTCCACATTCCAGTGGGCCACCAGGGAATCAGCTGAAAGGCCATCAACATGGGATAAAGCATCCCCTACCACTCTCTGGAAGCCATTTGGATCCATTAAGTGGCGGGGGCGGACCATCCGAATCGGTCCCACCTCCCTGCAGAGGGGATGGGTCACGGAGAAGTCCAGTCACACCAGGAAGTGATCTGACCATGGCACTTCTTTCGTTTCGCTTTTACTTAGTGTCAGATCACCAACATCCATAGAGGTAAACACCAGGTCCAAGGCATGTCCGCGGCAATGGGTTGGGCCAAACTTATTCAGGGACAGCCCCATGGAGGCCATGCTTTCCACGAAGTCCCGAGCGGCCCCTTGTAAGGTCGTGTCGGCATGGATGTTAAAATCCCCTAAGACAACCAAACTAGGTGTCTCCAGCCATGACCTGAAGCAGCTCGGGCAGGGAATCCTTGGTGCAGCAGGGAGGTCGGTACACCAAAAGGAATCCTGTACTGCCCCTATTGCCCAACTTCCAGAACATGCACTCAGAGAACTGGGTCTTCCTAATAGGACGCCTAGTGCAAACTAATGACTTCCTAAAAATCACTGCAACCCCCCCTCCCCGCCTACAAGGCCTGGGTTGCTGTGCGTAAGAGAAACCTGGTGGACAAGCAGCGGCAAGGACAGGCCCATCTGCTTCATCCATCCAAGTCTCTGTTACACATGCCAGGTCAAGTCCTCCATCCATGATCAAGTCATGGATACCAGTGGTCTTATGAATCATTGACCTGGCATTGCACAGCAGCACCTTCAAGTCATGTGGGTATCCCTTGCTGATTCTAGTATCCGTCCGGTTAGGACCAGACCCGGAGGCAGGGATAGTCCTCAAACAACGACTAAACCTGCCTCCTCTGTAATGACATGGTCTGGTCTTAGCGTAACTCCTTCTCCTACCTGTGATCACTGAGATCGGTTGTCCCAGCGCATCCCCCTCTGTGGAACATGCCCCAGTCATTTTGTTGGCTGGGACCCACTCCCCGGCAGCCCTGACCCCTCCCCTTAAGAACAAAATAAAACCTTAAAAATAAACAAAAACCCAATAAAACAATACAAACAAAAAAACTGTAAAAGTTACAAAACATCAAAATCAAACAAATTCCCAAGCCCAACCAAACATCCATCCCACCCCCACTCCCCCACATACAAAAAAAGCAAAAGAAAAATTTAAAAACATTTTAAAAAGAACTCTGCGCCCCTCCGAGTCCTCCTGGACAGCAGCAGCAGTAACAGCAACCGTCCTTGTGAGGCTTCAGGCCCCGCCCTGGGCCAGGTGGTGAGTGGCAGGAGCAGGGCCCTCAGGCACTCACACAGGGGAGTCCTCCTGGGCAGCAAAGCAGTTCTTTTAAGGCTTCAGGTCCCGCCCTAGGCCAGATGGTGAGTGGCAATAGCAGGGCCCTCAGGCACTCACACAGGGGAGTACCCCTTTCCAGCCTCCTTACAAAGATATCTTTCTGCTGGGGTTTGGGACTAGACTCAAGGTGTGGTGCCCTGCCCAACATGACTCACTGCAGAGAACAAGTCTGAATGACCTCTGGGCCTAACTACACTTGACGCAACAACCCGGCAATCCCACTGCTTAGTTTTTTGAAAAGGATGGGGAAGTATAAGTCTTCTCTCCATAGCGGCCATCTCAGTAAAAATCACATCTGCATGCAGCTGTGACAATTTGCGCCAGGAAAAGCCTCCATTGGGGTCAACAGGAGCCTTCCCCCCAGTGCTAATTGCTGTACTGTGTATATGGAGAAGATTCAATATTTACTGAGCTGGTGGCTGGGATGATTAGACTTTAAATCTCTGCTCCCATCCCTGGTGCCTGGAATGAATGAATCCAAGGGGGCAGCCTAGTAATGCAAAATAAATAAATGAATGAACGAATGAATGAATGAATGAATGAAGGCTTAGTAGCATCAGCAGTTCCCACTCCAATTATTGCTCTGGGTTATTATTACAGGAGTTGAAATGAGCCCACCTTCTTTTCTTTCCCCTCTATAGATGGAATTGTATCCTTGTCAGATGTAGAAACAACAGCCTACTATCTGCTGTCTCTCCTCAGCACAGCTGAGGTGTCCACAGATGTCCTCAACCATGCCTCTGAAGTTGTGCCTTCTCTCACCAGCCTACAGGGTCTTTATGGAGGACTTTCATCCTCACAGGTAGCGACAGCTGTTTCTCAAGGGAAGAGGTGTGGCAGGGTACCAAATTTCCGTATTTGGGTGTGCCAAATGCAGGGATGACTCCAGAACAAAAACTAGCTTGGGGGGAGCAAAGAGATGGGAAGGATTAAAGGAGGAAAGATTTAATCCACCTGAATATACTCTGCCAAAAAGTTAGAGGGAGTATTTAGGGGGAGTGCCCACTGTCCCTTGCTATTGCTTGCAGTCATCCCTGGGTATTCACCTTGAAATGCACATTCTAGCACAGGGCTGGTGTTTAAGTGGAGTGAAAATTATCGGCCACTCGAAAATCATCGTTTGAGGTTTCCTATGTTCAATGGCTGCAGTGGTGTGGCAGGATGAGGGACAAAAGGAGTTATTGTTTATAAGATCTCGGTAAGTGTTAAAATTTGTCTCCTGGATCTCCACCCCACCATCCAAGACGACTGTTTGCTTTCCCCAGAACACAGTGATTGCCCTGCAGGCTTTATCCAAGTATGCAGCCTTGACCTATCGTGAGGCAGAAGATGTGAAGGTGCTGGTGAAATCCAGTGGGGGTTTCCAGCACGAGTTCCACGTGGGCAAGAAGAACCGGCTGGTGTTGCAACAGGCCCCTCTTGCAGAGATTCCTGGTCAATACAAGCTGGAGGTGTCAGGGAACGGCTGTGCCTATGTGCAGGTAAGCCATGGAAATCTCAGGGGACAAAGGCACAAACAAGGCTCACCTTTGATCCACGGGGAGCAGGATAGAAGCAACAGACTGAGGCACTTTTCAGATTGTCACAGAGGAAGGAGAGGCGGGGGTCGTGTCTCAGATCCTGAGCAGTCCTGAGAAAATGAAAAGAGCATTCGTGTTCATCGTGCTCCACAGCAGGATAGCTGGGTAACATCCAGTGAAACATACTGACTGTTGCAAGTTTGAAGGGAAAGGCAATTCCTTAGCACAGATTCAGCAGATGGTGGTTCTTGCCATGGGATGTTAATAACGTCAGTAACAGAAATAATTAGATAAATAAATGGGAGTATAAGTTGGCCAACAGTTAATAGCTAGGATAGGGCAGAGTTCCAACAGAGTTCCTGGTGAAAACAATGTGATGGAACACTCATTGAGTGGCCCATATTGTATATCATCATCACAATCATTATCAGATTTTATTGGTCAGCCAAATATGGGTTATAGCCCAAAACAAACAAACAAACAAACAAACAACAGAGAGGTCTTAAAAACATATTACAGTGGTACCTTGGTTCTCAAACTTAATCCATTCCGTAAGTCCGTTCCAAAATCAAAGCGTTCCAAAACCAAGGTGCGCTTTCCCATAGAAAGTAATGCAAAATGGATTAATCAGTTCCAGACTTTTAAAAACAACCCCTAAAACAGCAATTTAACATGAGCTTTACTATTTAACGTTTGAAAACCAAAACACTTACTTCCAGGTTTTCGGCGTTTGGGAACCAAGGCATTTGAGTACCAAGGTACCACTGTATAGCGCACATGATGAAAGATAAGATAAGATAAACTTTATTCGCATTAGCCAACGGCCATGGCAACATAAAACAAGCAATATATACAAATAAAAAGACAGTGATGTGTAAAGAGGGCAATAAAATGAGCAAGGTTATCGTTCAGATAGTGGCCCTTATTGATGAAAGCATTATAATACACATCACAGAAGATGCCAGAAGTCAGCCCAGAATACAGCAGTTTTCTTCCCCACGTAGACTACTCTTCGATACCACAAAGAGCCTCCACCGTCGGAAGCTTTTGCTCTGAGTGTAGAGACATCACCAGAGGAATGCAACCAGACTACCAGGAAATATTTTGATGTTCATGTACAAGTCAGGTACTGTACTTCTGCTAAGCTGCTTCTGAAGGGGCTCCAAAAATCACATCTCTGGTGAAGCAGCTTGTGAAGCTTTGAGAACATGTGAATAGTTGCATGCAAAAATATGTTCTGCCTATTTACAACATATTTGCAAAATAATAATAATAATAAAATAAAAAATTCTGCCTCCCAGCTCACCCCATGCTGGAGTTCCCCTGGAGCTGGGTTCAGAATCATGAGCTCTGTCTAAGCTAATAGGGCTGCCCACTTGTCAAAATCCCTTATACTGGTACTCGCAATGGAATGGAGACTTATAAGGGAAAGGAGGGAGGGAAAGACTAGCAAAGGCTTTTGCAAGCCTTCTCGCTCTTTGCTTTTAAGTCCCTGAGCCTGAGAATTTGGAAGGGAAGGGGGGGACACTTGCGAAGAACAGGAATGGAGGCGGTAGCATGTATGCCTGAGGCCATGCATCTTCTGAGGTCTGCTCTTTCAATTTAGGCCCCAGGCTGAATGGAAGCAAGGGGAAGGCTCTGGAGTGATGGGCCTCTGCTTGCTGGTCACAGCCCCCCAGGCTGAGAGGAGCACTCTGCTCTGATGGCTGTCTCAGCAGCAAGCTGGGTAATGAGTCTCATCAGCAATCACCTCAGGGTGGCCCTGCCACGAGCGAGACATTGATTAAACCCATCCTCCAGGCTGCTCACTTGTGAGGCAGTGGGGAAGGAAGTTCACTACAGTGGTACCTTGGTTGTCGAATCTAATCCCTTCTGGGAGTCCATTTGACTCCTGGAGCCATTCAAAAACCAAGGCCCGGCTCCCGATTGGCTGCAGGAGCTTCCTGCACTCAATTGGAAGCCACAGAAGCCATGTTCAGCTTCCAAACAACATTCAAAAATCCGGACACTTCAGGAGCCAAAACGTACAAGTACCAAGGTGTTTGAGAACCAAGGTATGACTGTACTGGATCCAAATCTCCCCAGATGATTTTTCAGCTGCCACTCTTTCCCTTTCTCCCGTTAGCTACACAGGGGGGCGCAATGAAACCAACATGGTCCTGATAGAGGTGCATATGCCGTCTGGGTATATCCCTGTGAAGAAGTCTGCGAAGCAGGTAAGACCATTTGGCTTGGCTTCTCCCCATCTTTCAGTAATCCTTTTGTTTTAGTTGTTTCGTCCCACGACACTGCTGTGTAGTCATTCAGAACGGCTTCTATAAGGCAAAAGCAAAATTAAGATCCACAAGCAACAGTAAGAACTGAAGAATGAAATTAAGATGTCTGAAAAACAGCTTAAGCTGTTAGCAGAGCATTTCAGGAGAGATCTTGGCTCCTGAGGGTCCATTTTCAGGAAGAGACACAAGCTCCATCCATCTCTCTTCATCCCTCCTCCCTTGCCCAGCTCCCAGGGTCTAATTCTCAGACTCCATCCCCACTTGCCCAGCCTCCTCCTCCTAAACCAGCTGATCTCCAGTTCTCAGGCACATCCTTCTCCCCGGGTCCTTCCACGTATTTCATTCTCTTCTCTGTTCTTCTTTCGGAATCAGGCAATGAGGTAGACTGTCTGGATGTGCAGAGGGCAGTGTGTTTGTACCACTTCCCTGCTTTTGCTTGCTTGCTTGCTTGACGTGTGTCTTTGTGTGCATCTGTTTTAGGTAAAATTGTATATGTATTTTTACTATCCTCTCTTAACAAATCACGTTCTTTCCGGATGTGCTGCTGCTGCTGCACTGCATAATATACAACATGGAATTTATCCACCAACAACACCTATCTGATCAGTGCAAAACTTCTTTGCTGGGTTGTTTCCTACAACTCTTGTTGCAAATGAATGGAAGGGCATTGGCCTTGAACCCAGGCCCAAGAAGGCGAGTGTTTGGCCTTGTCCTTCTGAAGGTGGGATGGCGGGAGAAATGCCCAAAGCCCAGATTTCCCACAGGTTCTGTGGCCCACTCCTCTCCCCAAGTAGCCAATCCTGACAAAGATGTGGACAGAATTAAGGTGTCTGGTGACAATCCGCTGCTACGTGTCCCCGCAATTGAAAGTGACACTGAGCCCCTATTTTTCTAGGTGTGGGAAGTTCCACATTTCAAACAGTGCCCTGTTCCTGTATGAAGCATGTTATAAAGTGTCCCGTGTACTCATATTTATCCTTATTTTCTCTTTTGTATATCGTATATGTATCATATTCTGCAGTAAGGTGTCTCAGAATGCTGAACCTTCTAGTCATTTTCTGTGCAACAATTGTGAGGATCTATAAAACTGTTGTCCTTGTTTTGTACGAGCCCACGTTTTATGGGATGGCAGCCCACCAGTGGTGGCCTAGGGCTGCTGGCTTGATTTGTTCATTCACAGAGCCCATTTCTTCCATATTCTGACAGCTCCTAATGAAGCCCCTCGTCAAAAAGGTGGAGTTTGAGCCTGACAAGATCCACATCTACCTGGATCAGGTGAGGCCTACTCAGATCTCTATCAGATTGACAAAGATCAGGGATATGTGGAAGGGGTTCTGGGGTAATGCCCCACCTTTGAGTCAGGCAAGGAGGGCATGGAAGTAAGGACCAAAGCAAAGCCCGCCCTAGCTGGGAGACCTTTCCTTACTCCCTCTTTTTCCTTAAGCCAGAAGAAGTGTCCTGGGGAACTCAAAAACTTGCCTATCAGAGGGCTCATCCACACTTCTGCTTGCCCCGTGCCTAGAAAGTACAGTTCTGAGCAGTTTTCTGCTTGTCTTCTGCTAATAATAATAATAATAATAATAATAATAATAATAATAATAATTTATTGATATCCCGCCCAACTGGCTGGGTTTCCCCAGCCACTCTGGGCGGCTCCCAACAGAATATTTAAAACACGATAAAACATCAAATATTAAAAACGTCCCTAGACAGGGTTGCCTTCAGATGTCTTCTAAAAGTTAGGTAGTTGTTGATTTCCTTGACATCTGATGGGAGAGCGTTCCACAGGTAGGGTGCCACTACTGAGAAGGCCCTGCAGCTGGTTCCCTGTAACCTCACTTTCCGCAGGGAGGGAACCACCAGAAGGTCCTCAGAGCTGGACCTCAGTGTCCGGGCTGAAGGATGGGGGTGGAGATGTGGATTCGAGCAGCTTTCCCCTGGAAAACCTGTTTTTTGCCGCTAAGTCAGAGCGACCATCAAGCCATGGAAAACCCGATTGCTATTTGGTCTGATTCAGCGGTAAACCCCAGATTTCTTTGGGGGCAAAAGCAGTGGGGCAAATGGACGTGTGGACGAGCCCACATTGTAGTTGATCCTAATTAGATTTGTTTGCCACCCCTCCCCTTCTGATGGACGAACACACTTCCCGCCATGTTTATCTCCTACCCCTCTTTCCTGTCTTCAGCTGGATAGCGAAGTTCAAAACTACAGTGTGTCTGTGGAACAAGAAACAGAAGTGATGGATCTAAAGCCAGCAATAGTAAAAGTGTATGATTATTACCATCCAGGTAAGCATCTCATTGCTGGAAATGGGTACCATTCATCACAAAGTGCATTTATAGATCACCACAATCCTGCCTGTCTCCCAATCCCCTTCTCCCTAAGCATACGCGCTCCAAAGAACTCTGCCAGAGACATTCAGGAACCCTTCATTGCGATCCTTCTGTCTGTTTTCATGCCAAGTGTCTGCATGTGTGAAGTCATGCTAGTTGGACTTCTCCACACTTACCTTTGCCAAGGGTGGTGGTGGTGGGTTCTGCCAGGGCGATTGCCCTGGGTGCATCGGGGTAGGGGAGAGCGCTACTCACGCTGCCATCCCTGAGCCATCCCTGCACTGTGTTGTGATCTGAACGGATCCCAGCCTCGCAACACGGCTTGGGGAGGGCGGCGTGAGAAGGATTTCAGCAGCCGTACACCCTTCAATCCCAGCTGTCAGGCGTGGAGAGTCCTCCCCTCCCTTTGATAACTTCACAGATCAGAATTAACCAGCAGCTGATAAATTTATAGTCCTTTTATTACAGCGTCATGTTGCCAGCACAAATGCACAGCTCTCCGCAAGGAGAACAGTTGCCTAATCTAATCATCCTTCTGGCTCCCGCAGCATTTTGGGCGCCAATGAGAAGTTCCTCCCTCCCTCTGACTCCTTTGTTCTCTGATACGTTCAGACCTCCAAGTCCATGAGGAGGGGAGCCCTCCACGCTCTCAAGAGATTTCTCAGCTAGCTGCCCCCTCCTTTCTGTTCTGTCGTCATTATCTCGTAACTGGGTAACTCCCCCCCTAAGCTGTTCAGCTTCTCTCTCTCTCTCTCTGAACATGCTGTGGGCAAGGGGGCGAGCACGCAGTTCTTCCCCCTCCAGCTCTCCATCAGAGAGAAGCTGGTCTGCCATGGAATGCATTCCCCAGTCCTCATCTTCAGACCATTCCCTGACACCAGCCCCTTGAGGGCGAGGCTGGGGTGGAAGGGTGCATTGTGTCCTTCTCACACCGCCCTCCCTGAGTGGGATTCCGCAACAGGGATGAGGAACTTGTGGACACAGAATCATAGAATTGTAAAGTTGGAAGGGACCCCGAGTGTCATCTAAACCAACCCTCTGCAATGCAGGAATCTCTTGGCCAACGTGAGGCTCAAAGCCATGACCCTGGGATTAGGAGTCTCATGTTCTACCGACTGAGCTATCCTTCAGGTCCTCCAGATGTCATGGGACTCCAACTCCCATGTGCTCTCGCCAGCACGGCCAATTGTCAGGGATGATGGGAGTTGTAGTTCAGAAACTTTTGGAGGACCCTGACTTCCTGCTAATGGGGGTGGGAGAGAGATTTGCTCTGGGGCTCGATCTCTGTCTCATGAATTGTTCTCTCTCATACACAGAAGACAGCGCGGAAGTTGAATATAACGCTCCCTGCAGCACAGGTAAGGATGGAACGAGGCTTGGGCACATGTCAGAAAGGAGAGTCACATAATGCTCATAGTGGCCGCTGGTGAGCTTTAGGTGGAATTGTGCAGGCATCCACTGTGCAAGGAGAACTCCCCTCCCTCCACATCATGATGGGTGGCTGGCCTGGACCCACAATGCTTAATATATTATGCCTTATTTTCTTCGTATTTCTTCCCACAGAGAGCACAAAGAAAGACCACCACTAGCTCTGCATCCGAGACGTGAAGCAAACCCAGATGAACAGCACAATTGCTGCAGGAGATCTCCCATCTTAGGGCATTGTTTTGAGTCTGCTTTGTTAGGTCATGTACAGATTATGTCTTGGCTCCAAAGATCACTGTGTGCAAGCACAAAAGCACTTCTTCTTCTTCTTCTAATTTTTTATTATTTTATTCACATAATATACATTCTTTACAACAGACAACTCCAAAATAAAATCATATATAGCAAAACCATAAGTCTCATGTTTTCATTTACACTGATCTCCTTTCCAATACCTTTACTTGATATTTCTTGCTGCTTCCTGCTTTCCTTATAGAATCTTTATGGAAATTTAAATCTCTTAAATCCTATACCAATCTTTAACAATTTCAATTAATCCCTTCATCTCCCTCCCCCACAACCCAGTACTTCACCCGTGTGCGATCTTCTTTGCCTACTATTAATTTTGTTATTGTTGCGTTACTCATTTTATTTGTTATTCCATCCTTAATATAATATTATCCTATCTCCTTGTGCCTTTTAAACTTTTAAAGAATAGCACTTCTGTTAAGTTGTGGGTGAACATATCAGACTACACAGCGATTCTTCAAACAGCTCTTGTTTATTCACAGGCCAGAACAGAACTGAACTGAAGGGTTCACCCAGCCTGCTTATATAGAGCTCCACTACAACGCAACAGTAACCACTTTCTGTAACTATCCAATCACTGAACGTCACTTTCAATCCCTTTTTTTTTTTTTTTAAATATTTTATTAAGGATTTTCTTGTTTTACAGAAGTGTAGTGCCTCGTATTTTTTTTCCCATGTAACATTTTTACAAATCCGTTTCATTTGTTGAGGCATTTGGGGTATAATAAAAAAAAAAATAAAAAAGAAAAGGGGGGGTGGAGAGAGGGAAGATGGATGGGGGTGGGGTCGGGTGGCGGTGTTTCTATTATGTTTAATGTATGTAGAGTTTGGTGTCAGCGTTGCTTGTGTTGTTCACTTGTGTTCCTTTGGTGGTGAGAGAGGTTGGGGTTGGCCTAGGGTGTGATTGTTTGCTTGTGATTGGCTGTGGTGATCTTTGTTTTCGTGTGTGAGTGAGGTGGGTGGGTGTTTTGGATCAGGTTAGCCATATTGATTTGTATGCTGTTGGTGGATTATTGTCATTGTCCTGTTGGGCTGTGTATGTGATAAATGGGAGCCATACCGGGGTGAAGGCGTCTTCTTCTGTTTGTCCCCATGTCAGTTTCTGTTTATTAGTTAATTTTTCTAGTAGGGCTGTTTCCCATACTATTTGGTACCATTGGTCCATGCTTACTCCTGACAGGTCTCTCCAGTGTCTGGTTATGGTGTTTCTGGCTGCTGAGAGCAGGTGGGTTATGAGTTCTTTGTGGTGTAAATGGGCATTGTTGTCTTGGAAGATGTTTAGTAGGGCCAATTCTGGGGTGATGTCTATTACTTGCTTAGTTATTTTACATATTTCTTGTATGGCTGTTGTCCAGAATAGTTGGATTTTGGGACACTCCCACCACATGTGGAGGTATGTGCCTGTGGAGGTGCACCCTCTCCAGCATTTTGGTGAGGTTCCTGGGTGTATTAGCGCTAGTTTCCTTGGTGTTAGGTACCACCTGTAGGTGAGTTTCAGTGTGAGTTCTTTTCTTTTCGTTGATATGGATTTAGAGGGGGTTTAGACCACATTCTGCTCCATTGAGTGGGGTTAATCTCATAACCTAAGTCATACTCCCATTGGTTTTGTATTGCGTCTAGGGGATTTACAGGATTTTGGAGTAGTATTTTGTATATTGCGGATACCGTCCCTTTACCGTTTCCCTTTGTTGTTAGGAGGAGGTTTTCGAAGGTTGTCAGGGGCCTAGTTGCTGCTGATTTTACTGTTGGGTTGTTTAAGAGGGCATGAAGTTGGTGTTGTGTTAACCAGGGCATTTGGGTGTCTTCTAGTTTGTCTTGTATTTCTTGTGTTGACAAGGGTTTGTTATTTTTATAAAAGTCTATTAGGCGATATAAGCCTTTGGTTCGCCAGGTTTTTATCTTGAGGTTTTGTGCTGCACGGTGGAATAATGGGTGAGTACGCCAGAGGATTAGTGGGGATGGGGTTGGGGATAGTTTGCCTATTTGTGTTTTCCATGCTTTGAGCATGGTCTGTGTGTACCTGTTAAGTGTTGTGGGAATTTTCTTTAGTTTGTTTGGGAGGAGTGGGTATGTTGTGGTGCAGGTGTTTTCAATTGTGTCCCTCTCTAGGTGTACCCATTGTTTTGTCTCATCTTCTAGTATATATGGGATTATGTGGCGTATTTGGTTGGCATTGTAATATGCTTCTATGTTGGGGATTCCCCATCCTCCTTCTGAGGTGGGGAGGTGCAGGTATTTGGGGCTTATTCTTGGTTTTTATGTGAGAAGATGAAAGAGTGTAGTTTTCTCTGCCAACTGCGAAGTTGGGTTGAGGATCCAGATTGGGAGGGTTTGGAATAGGTAGGTTAGTTTTGGGAGTGTGATCATTTTGATCATGGCTATTTTGTCTGAGAGAGTGAAGTTCATGTTATTCCATCTCTTTAGGTCTTTGTTAATTTGTCGCCACAGGGGCTTGTAGTTGTGGAGGTACAATTTATTGAGGTTTCTGGTTATTTGTACCCCTAGGTATCTGAACTTGGTGTGGCAAAGTTTTATTTTGGTGACCTTCGTGAGTTCTTTTTGGGTGTGAGGAGGGGTGTTGAAGCACATAGCTTCTGACTTTGTAAAATTTACCTGTAGGCCCGACACCATTGCAAATGTGTTGAGTTCTCTGATTAGGGAGGTTGCTGTGCTTATGGGGTCTGGTGTTGTGACCATTAGGTCATCTGCAAAGAGCCCTAATTTATAGGTTCTGCCTTTTATTTCCACTCCCTTGATGTCTGTGGCTGCTCGGATGCGGATTGCTAGGGGTTCCAGAGCCAGGATAAATAAGAAGGGAGACAGTGGGCATCCTTGTTTCGTGCCTCTTTGGATAGCTATAGTGTTAGAATCCATATTGTTAGTTCTGCATTTTGCTGAGGCTTGGGAGTATATTTGTTTGAGGATTTGTAGGAAGTTGGGGCCAAATTTCATGTTAGTTAGTACTGCTAATATGTATTTCCACTCCAAGCAATCAAAGGCTTTGAGGATGTCTAGGGACATAATTGTCAATGGGAGTTTGGTTGCCTTGCTGTGTTCGATCAGGTTCAGTAGTTTCCTGATGGGGTCTGTTATATTGCGGCCAGGGACAAAGCCAGTCTGGTCTGGGGCTATTAACTTGTGTAGGAAGATTTTTAGGCGGTTGGCCAAGATTGATGTGAATATCTTGTAGTCTTGGTTTATTAATGAGATTGGGCGGTATGATTCTACTTTGAGGCTGTCTTTTAGTGGTTTTGGGATGGAGACTATTTTGGAGTGGGTCCAGGTTTTGGGGATGGGGCCCCCTTTTATGATGTCGTTGAATAGGCGGGTCATGTAGGGCATCAAGGGTTCTTTGAATTTCTTATAGAATTCTGCTGTGAAGCCGTCTGGGCCTGGGGCTTTGTGTGGTTTCAGGTTTTTGAGGACCGCATCTATTTCCTCTGGGGTGATAGGGCTGTCCATGAATTCCTGTTCCTCATTAGTTAGGGTAGGCATGGTCAGTCCTGCTAGAAATGTTCTGATTTCCTTCTCTGGTGGGTTATGGGAGGTGTATAGGTTGGAGTAGAATTCTGCAAATTCTGAGGTTATTTCTTTGGGGAGAATGTTATGTTGCCGTCTTTTTGGTGATGCAGTGTATTCTTGTTTTGAGTGCTTTTTCCTACATCTATTTGCTAGTAATCTGGAGTTTTTCCCTCCATATTCTTAGAAACGGTGTTTATAGTATAGAATGTTGATCATTGTATTGTTCATTTATAGGGAGTCTAGTTCTCTCCATTTTTGTTCTATAAGTTTGAGGAGTTAGTTAGATCATGTATGTTTGTAGCGTGATGAGAGGGCGGTGATGTCTTGTTCTATTTTGCTAATTTTTGAGGAGGTTTGTTTTTAAGGAATGTTTTCTCTTTTATGCAAGCTCCTCTGGTGACCTTTCATTGCGTCCCATAGGAGGGGTTGTTATATTGTTTACATCGTTTTCTTTGAAGTAGTTTTGGAGGGTTTTGTGAGACTCTCTCTAATTTGTTTGTTTGTAGTTAGGATGGGACTGAAGGACCATGATGGGGTGGTTTGTGTTCCTTCTCCTATTTTAACAATGACTTCTACTGGGGCGTGGTCTGTGATTTTAATGTTACCTATGTTTGTTGATTCTACTGAGGGGATCAGACCCTGTGTGAGTAGAATGCTGTCCAGTCTGGACACTGTATCATGGCGTCCTGATTGGAATGTATGGCTGATGTCTCCTGGTTTTGCTCACCCCAAATGTCGTAGAGACCCGTTTTTTTAGCATTTTTAGTAACTTGTAAGAGTTCCTGGTTGTTGGGGTTTGCCCATGGGGTTGTGGGGTGGATATCTTTCAGGGATATACCTTTCATATTTAGATTGAGGTCCCCTCCTAGGATTGCTTCCCCTTCAGAGAAGGAGAGGAATTTGTTTAGTGTCTTCTGGAAGAATTCTAATTGTTTCGTGTTTGGGGCATATATGGAGCCGATTGTCAGTTTGATTTTGCCATCTAGTGTCCCTTTAGCGAAAATGAATCTGCCTTTTTGTCCTTGAGGACTGTTGTGGCAGTGAAGTTCAGGTCTCTACTGAGTGTTATGGCTACACCACGAGCTTTCCCTGAGCCTCGTGCGACCCACTGTTGACTGAAGCGGGGGTCGCTCAGGAGTTTGCTGCCTTTGGGTGGGTTGTGTATTTCTTGTAGGAAGGTGATGTGTGGTTTCATGGTGTTTATGTATGAGGTGATGCGTTTTCTTTTGATGGGGTTTCCCAGCCCCCTCACGTTTAATGTAATTGCTTTTAGGTTAGCCATCTTGCTTATCTATTATGTGGGGCAATTCCTTGCCAACCCATTCGGGTTGTCTTGTGTCTCTCTCTTCGTGTTGTTTAAAAAAGTGGGGTTGCGCTGACCTTGGGTGTGGTGGTTGGGGGGCTAATGGGATTAGAGTAAGATTTGGGTTAAAGAGTAGGGGGTAAGTTGTAGAGAGTTTCCTATATGTAGTCATATAGGTGTTTGTTTAGGGTATTTTAGGCCATCTGGCATTTAGCCAGTTGGTCCTAGGTCTCAGCTGGTGTGGAAGGCCGTGTTCAAGGACAGGCCATCCCCCCTGTTGTTTGCGATAGGGGGTGATCAGTGAGACAGTGTGAAGTGACTTTGTAACGTCGCTGTCAGGTATAAGGTTCATAAGCAATGTTGCCAATGTTATGAGCAACATTATTGGTGTGTTGGGGTGGGGATGTGGGTGCTGAGTACGCTCTGGTGCCACCATAGTGCTGGTTGGGTATCAGATTTTAGCCTGATTGTGGGTTGTGTTATTAAGGTTGTGGGAGTTGTTTTCCCTAGTATGGAGTATGGGGGTGTTGAAGGTGTGGGTGATGGGGAATGTGGTTGAGGTCGTCTGGACTGGTGTTGGGTTGGGGATTCCTGTGGGGGTGCGGGGCTGGGGGGGATGTTGATGGTGTTAACTAAA